GGAATTTTTGCCGGGAAGTCAACGCGTGTCAGGTCGACAGATAATTCGAATCTTATTTCCTAGACAGTTGCAGTTCCGTTGAGCAGGTGTTACCTAGGCGTATACGTAATGTAATGGTAACCAGCTGGAGATTTCTGAAATGAATTCCGTTTGCATTGATATTGTCTTTCCTGCCATGTTAAAGGGTATATCGTAGCCTTCACCTGCGGACATCCTTTGATGTCTAGTAAGCTGCTTGTTGTTAAACGCTCGTGCGTATACTTAATGTTGCCTGTGGGATCGCACAAATGTATGCTACACAAGTCAAAAATTGATCTAATTTGCCCTCCGAAATGTCTTCATATCGCCGAGATGCCAGCATCACAAAGGCTACACCTGCTAGCTATTCGGCTGCACAAAACTAATTAAATGCTCAGCCGTAATTTATGTGTGCCCCAGACAAATGAGAACGCAACCAGCGAGGGGCCATAAATTTAAATTATGCCCGGCTAGAAGTGAATACGTAATAAATAAGCCGAAGTGCGTGCAAAAATGTTTGCCTGCAAAAATTCTAGCTTGCGGGCGCACACGTATCTTTTTCGTCTGACCAGGATGTCCTTGTAATGAAATTCCCCGGACTCTCGCCTGGAATTCTTATTTGCCTCGCACAACAAATACTCGTATATACTATATGCTATACTATATACACCTAATCTGTCGTACCCAGATCATGTGGCTGATTGCCCGACGGGAGTGAGCGAGGGATGTCCGCCAGACATGCAGTAATTGGCTCAAGTCTTACATAACTAGGGTCTCATGTGGTGTCGTTTTAATGATTTCCTTTCAATTCGGGATGTGGATGTGGAGCCAACTGACTTATGCAAGATTGATTATGTTCCCTATGCTGTTGAAAATACTAAAGGGGCTCCCAGGACTGGTTGAACTGGAATTTATTGCATAATGGGGAAACTGAAGATAAACTCTTTCTCACGGAATGCCAGTCAGCAGTCGAGGAATCTGCAGTCGTTTCATTGACTGCCCAGTTCAAATTAACTCCGAGGACTTCCCGGGGAAAGCATCCGAGTCAGACAAAACAATTCCGCAAGTCTTGCAGGCCCGTATTTAGCCGTCTGCTGATTAACTCCGAATGCCTTGCCATTTACATACGCAAAATGTAATTTGGTGCGCCAACTTTGAACAAATGTTTTCGAGGGACCACCGGGCGGATACTTAATAATGTTTACCAAAGCAATCAGGCGGCGAACACGGGAACTGAGTGCTGAGCCCGAGCGAGATTGGAATTTCAACCTTTTTTTTTGTGACAGGGTCGAGATTTCTGATTTGTGATTGGTATTTGAGCGGCTGACACTTGGCAAATGCGCCAACAATTTGGGTAATAACCTTAAATTCAAATGCTCCTCCCGAGACTGACTACTCGTCGCTGGCCTTCGACTTAATATAATTTAAAGTCCCGCAGACCCGCCTTCGATTTTCCCACTCCGTGGACCGAGTGGTTCTGCTTTTGCGTTGCGAAATCGTCGGCAAGGCGGAGATGGGAATCGGGACGACACAAAGGCAAACAATTTATGGTTCATATGAGTTTGGAATTGGTGTTCAGCATACAAATGCCGAGCAAATAGAATTTGTGTGTTTATCCTGTCCCTGCCACACTCCCCTGAATTCCGAACTGAATTAGTATGGCGTAGGGAGTGTGTGTTTGCGAATAAATCGGAGTACTGTATGCATATCCATGTGCGGCTGCATATTTGCCCGATTAAACGGTGGAAGGCCAAATATTTGATTGCCAGCACGATTTGATTGCCAGCACATAATTGCCTCAAACGAAAACTATCATGGCAACATTTTTAAAACAGTTAACAGCTATGAAGTTGACTTTTACTTTTTACTCAAAACAAGATAAACCGCTATAGATAGCAAGATAAGCCGCTGTAGATATCCGGTACACAGATATGAACCCAGAAGAAAGGTGCCTTAAATGACCAAGAATCCTGCATTTACTTAGGTTGGTCCATTCGCTTAGACTTACAATCAAAAATTATATACATCAAAATATTATATATCATCCAATTTAATGTGACATGAAATTTGTGGGCGCCACAGATTTTCGCACTTTTTGTGGAGTAACAGATATCTATATTTCTATATCCTTGCAGAGGATATTATAATTTAACTTAGAAGCTTGCAACGCAGTGAAAAAGAACCTCATATCCCATGATATATATATAGTAGGGGAGATGTGGGGGTTGTGGGCATAGTTTTGTTTTTGGCTTATAATTACCGAACTAGTGCATATTATTTGGACATATGGATATCTGTGTAAAGCTAGAGATCTAAGCTAACTAATTATTAAGAAACATTCTTGATTTTGTCATGCGAAAAAATTTCATATGGACTTTTGTAAAATCGTAATTTTCAGCTAAAATTTTTTTTGGGGGGTTGTGGGCACCCTGGGTAAAAATGATACAAATGGTATAATATGGAAAAAAACAGCAACCAATATCAACAAACTGACAATTTATTTATTTCAAAGACTACATAGGCGTTATTCATCGTCGGAAACACAATTTTGACATGTATAATGACTGCCCCGCATGTCCACATATTTCGGATGAAAAGCTCGATCGCAGATGTCAATTGAGTGATAATCCCTCTCAGTGGGAGAGGATCCTTTTCCAAGAGCCTAAGATTTCTACAAGAATGTTCTAGAGGGTTCCAAACAAATTTTGAAAACAATTTTACAAGAAATTGTAGGTAATAAAAAAATTTGCCAAAAAAAAAACGGGTGCCCACAACCCCCCCAATTTTGGTGCCCACAACCAACTTTCGCAGACATTTTAAGAAGTAATTAAAAAATGTGTTTGCATAAATTTTTTGGTTCAAATCGATATTGTTCCATTTAGTATAATGCTTTGACTAAATAAAAATGCATTACACTTGCCTTTTTAATCGATTCACTTTAATTGATACACTATTGAAAATCTTTGAATAAAGTTTCACCACATTTTCCAAGCACAAAAAAAAACCAATTCGTTCATTTCAAAAAGCGAACGCGTTCATTTACTTTGATATTTGGCATAAATCATACATAGGGTAATTGCTTGCGAATGACATTACCAACAAAAGTCAATCTTCATTTTGTGAAAATGTACATAGGGGTGCCCACAACCGACCCATGCCCACAACCCACACTTCTCCCCTATATATTTTTGATGAGCATCACAACTGTTTTTTAAGTCAGTAGTGTTTTGAATCCTCTCTATGAGACCTATCTGATATAGTCCGCCGATCCGTTTCGACATATTACATTCGTAATATTTACAATATGTTTGCCATTGTTTCAGCGAGATAGCTTTAAAACTGAACAAAAGTTTACGGAGAAACAACAAGACAAGAATGTCCAGACCTAGATCGACTCCGATGCTAATCAAAAGTATATATATTTCTTATATACTGCGTCAGATAATTCAGATACCTTCTGTTAGGGCTTAGAAAGTGCCAGCGGAAGTTTCTCAAAATGCCTAACTCTAAACTTGCATATTGTATTTGAAAATTCAATTCCGAAAGTTGGTTCTAGGTAATAAACTTACCAGTAGCTTCGGTTGATGAACTGTGTGCTGCGTTGATTGGACCTAATTGAGTCCTTAATTGGACTTCCATCTGTTGACACACAAGCGACTCTGCTCTTAGAACAAGGAACCCAGAACCCCACCTGTTCAGGGGTATTGCATCGGTCTGGTGTCTCATCGAGGTGAACTCGTCCTTGACACATTGCGAACTTTGACGGCTGAGCCTTCCTGTCCTGCCGTTTTCCCGTTGCCGTTTTTTACTCCCAGCAAAAAATTGTATCCGTCGTAACTAAGTTAACACCAGGAGCGGTCGGTAATAAACGCGGCCACACACATATGACAATATTGTCAGTGATGCTCGATTTATTGACTAAACGAATAAAAGCAGTGAATTTATAAACTAATTTGCAGATTACTATGTAGTGATTGGTTTTATAATTCAAGTTTCAACACATAACCTTGTTATATGTAAGCTTATTTAAAAAAGAAAAAAGATATAAGAAAATCTAAGATTATTCGTTAATTTTGGCAATTTATATTATATTATTGGTTATACAGGTGCTATGTGTGCGAGAACTTAAATTGCATAGATATAGGTATACAGGTTTAAATGTAAGTTGTTTTGCATTGCACCTCCTAGCTTACTCTAAATTATTTCCTAGATTATTATTAGATTATTTTATTTCATAAATTATTATTTGTAGCCTAAAATATCCCCTGTCTTCATCCAAGTGATTAAAAACCAACTAAAGTAGTTAAACAATACATTTTCAAGGAAAATGTTCCGGATAAGTTCTAATTAACTGCTGCTACCACTTAATTAACCCGGCTAGATGGACTCGGAAAGCAACTCGCTTTCAATTGTGCCATCCCAGGAGCGGAGTGGCTAAATTCGCTTCGAATCGGCTTTTGGCCACACAATACGAACTTGGGGATCCGGATAGGGATAGGGGTCAGCGGGGTCCTTTGTGCTGCGAGCCGACTAATGGCATCCATTAGACACAAAAGGCCAAATTGCTTGTCCCGATTCCGATGGCATCGATACACTATACACCATACACCGTATACCACACATTCATATGGCCGCCACACAGAGAGCGACTGCATTTATTTGGACTTTTTGTGCGATCTATTGTCACGTGTCCGCCTCAACGTGTGTGTGTGTGTGTGTGTGCGGGGCTATTGTGTAATTGATTTCGGAACCACAGGAACCAAAAGGCCCCTCAGCTATTTGCATGACCGGTTTGGTCCTGGCCTGTATGGGTATTCCGCATTCTATACTCCGAGTTCCGTTCTCCGTGCGGAATAGTCTTCTTTTAATATGCGCGGCATGCACAACGCGGGCGTAAAACAAAAAGTTGGCGCGATTCGCATGCAGATCACATATATGGCACAGGCCCACTAATCCAATCCGATTTGCCTCTGAACTTGCAGATTGATTTCGCCGAATCACGTCGATTAAGTCATGAACGCACTCGATATGAATAAACAATTTCTGAGCGTCTCCCAGGACCATCAGCACCATCAGCAGACCTCGGTGGCAGACCAGCGGAGTCGCTCAAGGTGAGGAAACACTTGCTCTAGTCTGGCGTAGTTGCATATGATAGCACTCGGTGCCGTTGCCATTCCAGATCGGAGCGTGCCTCGAGTCTGGCACTGCCCCTCAACTCCCTCCTGGACTTCTACGACAAGCAGCAGGAGCAGTGCAAGTCGGTCACCCTGCTGCCGTTGCCCAGTTACAGCAGCAACATCGGCGACGGCGGCAACACCTCTGGCGGCAACATCTCCAGCAGCAACAGCATCGTGCGGCGACACTCCTCCCACTACTACCCCATGCTCGAGGACAAGCAGAAGCCGTCGCAGTTGCCCCAGGCAGCCACCGAAATGCTTGTGAGTAGGGACATTTCCCCCAGATTTTCACTGGAAGTACGTGTTTGTATTTCAGCAATTCGAAAAGAACTGCACCGATAAATTAAACCATTAGCTTAAACTACAAATTGAGCAAGTAAAAGTGACTTCCGCTTTTACGTGGTTAGTTCCCCTATTGCAGTAGTTATGATCTAGTTGGTTATGTTAATATTAAGAAATGTATTAGAGTAATTAAACTGACGTTATAGCGAGGGGAGTTTGAAGGTTAGCCGCCTAAGTATTTCCGCAAATTTTTTCTGGCTTTGCATGACTCACAGATCGATATGAAGAGCAGCCAAAACCATTTCGCCTTCCCGAATTCAGTTTAAAGCAGGGCCTGGCCCTCAAATCCCCCCTGAGTTTTTTTTTCCTATTTTCCGTGAGGATTTCTGCACTCGGCTTAGCGGAGGCTTAGTCCCTGCCCGCCGTCGTCCTCAGCACCTGGCAGGAGCTTAAACTGCTGGATATTGCTACTGGAAAATAATGACACAGTGTACGATCGAAGGAGTAAACACTGCATCGGGAAATACTCTATTCATCAAAGCAGAAGAAGACATTTTCGCATTCATTATTGAAACCCAATACCCGACATTTATAATGAAAAGGTTTACAAAATATTCAAGAACGAGTGTATTTTTCTGTCGTTTCCTTTTTTCATTGAGACAAGACAATAGTATACGAAATGCCATGATAATTTTGCCGTTTTCATGCGTGTAATTAAAAATGCAATTAATCTTTTTGAAGAGAACAAAAGCTCGATGATATTAAAAAGATCTGTGAAAATTAATAACTCTTCACATTTGTGCTTTTGCGGTTAGTTCGCTCGGTTCTTCACTGTATTTGCGCTGCCATATTTCCGAGTCCTCCACCAACGAACATTCTCGTTTTCCCGCCGGCAGGTAAACATGGCGGAGCAGAAATATGGCCAGTCAGCTTTCCAGGGGGCCAGCGCGGGAGGCAGGCAGTTTCCCCACCACCAACAGCAGCAACAGCAGCAGCAGCAGCACTTGGTGCGGGTGGACACCCCGGTGACGCCACCGCCGCCCATTCCGCGCAGAATGCTCCGTGGGAAGAGCGCCTGGCAGGCGTCGAGTCCGAGTGCCAATCCACTGGCGACTGGCGGACAGGAAGGAGCCCACGCCACGGGCACGGTGTTTGTTTATCCGCAGCCAACAAACGTGACCGCAGAGGCACTGGCTCGGGGGTCGGGCGATGGACAAGGAGGAGGAGGAGCAGTAGGAGGAGGAGCTGGCCTGCAATCAGCTCTGCTTGTTGACATAGCCTCACGTCCGGCGAACGGATATGCGGATGCCGATGGGATTTCCGATGACGACCGCATGAGTCTGGAGAACTCCGTGTTCGACGAGTCGCTAACCTCGACGCCCGTCAAGGTCGCCAGCTATCTGGCCGGACGCTACTCGGGCCTGGGCCACATGGCCAAGCGGGCCCAGCGCTCCTCGAGCAGCACAGTGGACTCTGCCTACGGCTCCTCGCTGGGCGGGCACAGTGAGCGGTTCGCCAGCAGCTCGACGAGCGTCGACTTCCGCAGTCGCTTCTCCTCGGTGGACACGCAGTCCTCGCTGGACGAGAAGCCCCTGTCCAGCTCGATTGACTCACCCTTGGCCAGGGATGCGAGGGATACTAGGGACACCAGGGACACCAGGGACACTAGGGAAACCAGGGACACTAGGGAGGTGTACAGGGAGCGAACCGTACTAAACGATGTCATGCACAAGCTGAACAACAACAACAACACCCTGGCATTGGCCCTCTGTCCGGCCAGCAATAACAACAACGGAAGCTCGAGCAGCAGCGGAGGAGCAGATGGCTCCAAGTTGCCAGTGGTTCCCGCCCGAAAGCAGCCACCTGCCGCCAAGGGCAGTGGCAACAGCAACAACTCGATAAGCGAGTCCCAGTCGCAGTCCTCGAAGGAACCCAGTAGCGTTTCGGCCTCGGCCTCCACTTCGTCCGCTGCCTCGGCAGGATCCAGCACCATCTCCAGTGGCACCATGTCCTCCATGTCTGGACCCTGTCCAGCCACCGTGCCGGCCATCGATTCGAACAGCAAACGTCCAGGACCTCCAGAGCCACCATTGCGTCAGGCGAACGTCTACGATTCCGCGGAGAACACGGGATCGCGGGGTCATCCGGCTCCGCCGTTGACCGTACGGAACAAGTTGAGCCGCAACAAGCCGCCGCCCATCGCCTACCCGAGGATGCAGCAGCGGCAGGACTCCACGCTGTCCAGCGACAGCTACTCCATCAGCTCCAGTCCGGGCTACAACTCCAAGCTGATGGAGGCACCGCTCCTGGGCTCCCAGCAGGTGGGGCGAAAGACCAACGCTCCCGGCTCCGCTCAGCGACAAACTCCGATGATGGATTTGGCTCCCACGAGGTTCTTGAGCGGCGGCAACGGAAGTGGCAAGCCGGCACCCGCAGTGCCGCCTCCGAGAGGTCGGACCAACTTCCGCCAGGACTCGACCATCTCCAGCGACAGTTTTAGTCAGACGTCCAGTCCCGGCTACAATCCCAAGCTCATGGAAGCCCCGTTGCTGCCATCTTTGTCCGCCAAGCGGCTCTGCAGTGGTAGGTTGAAGTCCCCTTAAAGTCCCCTTCACCCCTGACCTTTCTAACAGGACTCCTCTGACTCCCCAGCGCCAGCTCCGATTGTGTGCCGTCAGGGAGTGCAGCACGAGCCCATCGAGGAGTTGGAACCGCCGCAGACTATCTCCCCGCTCCACAAGACGGCTGTTCCGCCCAGCAGCCTGCAGACCATCGTGCGATTCCAAAACGGAGCACCGCATACCATGTCCTTGCAGCATCAGGTAAGGAAACTGTCTTCTATAGTCTGTTTATAATTTCTACATTTAAGTATGCTTCACTGCATACTCGTATTTCGCTATCTAAGTTCCTATCTTTAATAAAACATTTTAACAAGTATACATAAAGTCTAAATACTGTTCCGGAAATATCAACAAAATAATTCTTTTTAGATAATCAACCGGCGGAAGAGCTCCAATCCTTACATCACCAACGGCCGCTTGAAGTTCCGCCTGTTCCAGATCCTTATCAACGCCTTCGCCCTGCTGGCCATCGCCGGAGGACTGGCTGCCTACTTTAATGCCTATCCGACGATCAAGTTCGTGAACAAGACGATCATCAACACGATCCACGTGGAGGACAACACGAGTTTCGGAAAGAATCCGGCCCCCGGAACGTGCCTACCCATCATCGTGCGATTTTGCCAGGGTCCCCAGATCCCTTACAACTATACCGTGTTCCCGAATTACATCGGTCACTTTGGTCAAGTGGAGACGCAAACGGTAATTATGAGTAAGGAGCCCAGTAGAACCTCCACTAACTTCAATCCTTAATAGGACTTGGATTCCTATGAGGCACTGGTGGATGTGAGATGCTACGAACTGGTGTCCCTGTTTCTTTGCACGCTTTTCGTGCCCAAGTGCGGACAGAGCGGGTAAGACTAATCTAAAAACTTTGCATTAGATTGCTGAAAGCTCAGGAACGAAATATTTTATTGATTCAAATAATATAATAGTAATAGATATATAAAATAAAGTTTTTGTAGATTTAAAGAGTCATGAACTACGATCAATAGCAGGAAGCACATTTTTGATTTAACTAACACGTAATGCTAGTTTTATCTAGTTCTTAGTGAGTTCAATGTACATGCTTCCTTACCTGAGGAACTCGGGATTTCGGGTTTTGCTTGACTGACTTTTATTGTTTATAGCTAGGACCCTTAAATGATATTACGAAGTAAACTCAATTTAATTTTCATTAATAAGATGTCTTATCAAAAACCGGGTTGTATCCTTTGCTTTGGCAGAAATCATTTTCAATTCATTTTTCTTGTTGCATAGGGCATTTGTACATACATAGTTTTTAATATATGGTATTTAAGATGCCCAAAAATAACGAAAGTCACGTTCTTACAGTGCTACAGTACCACCTTGTAAGACCCTCTGCACGGAGACGATGCGACGCTGCGGCTTCTTCTTCGACGTGTTCGGTCTGAGTCTGCCCGAGTACCTGAACTGCAAGCTCTTCAAGGACTTCCCCAGCTCCGAGGAGTGCGTGGGTGTGGATGAGGTCCGCGAGGTGATGCAGGCGGCCACGCATCCCAAGTGCGATGGCTTTCAGTGCGACCAGAACCGCTGCCTGCCGCAGGAGTACGTGTGCGATGGCCACCTGGACTGCATGGACCAGGCAGATGAGGCGAAGTGCGAACGGTGCGGTCCGGACGAGATCTACTGCGGTGATAGCCAGTGCATCGGAACCAAGCACATTTGCGATGGGATCATCGACTGTCCCTACGGCCAGGATGAACGTAACTGCTGTGAGTTTCAGGGTCTTAAGTTACACACAAACAAATATTTCAAATTTAAATGATTAGTTTAGGTCAGTAGAACGTTATATTTTATCTAATCGAAATAAAAAAGCTATAGGCTGTTCTCGTAATAATATTCTTTATTTTCCATTTACCTTTACCAATCCCAAACAGTGAGGCTGAGTGAGCGGAACGGCGACGTGGGCACTGGGGTGCTGGAGGTCTACCGCATCGGCCAGCGGCAGTGGATGCCCGCCTGTGTGAAGAACTGGGATCGGGCGGTGTCGCCCAGTGCCGTGTGCTCCATCCTGGGCTACTCCGCCGTGAATGCTACCAGTGTCCTCACCCAACGCACCCATCGCCCCCTGTTGGCCTCGGTTAATGTGTCCACCGACATTTGGAAGGTGTACGCCAAGAGGAAGTCCACCCTGATGCAGGAGTTTACCAACTGCAAGAAGACAGAGGACTATCCGATGGCCGAGCTTACCTGCTCCAATTATGGTGAGTTCTTCAGTTACAAAATATTTCACTTTGTGCTTAATACCAAGTTTTTTTTTTAGAGTGTGGCAGAGTGAAGAGGGGCAGGCACAAGCCGTCGAGGCGTATTATTGGAGGGACCCAAGCGAATCCCGGCAACTGGCCGTTCCTCGCAGCCATTTTGGGTGGTCCCGAGAAGATCTTCTACTGCGCTGGTGTCCTGATATCGGATCAGTGGGTGCTCACGGCCTCGCATTGTGTGGGAAAGTGAGTTGTGCCCTAGGAGTTATGAAGCTTGGTTTAAATCCCAATTCTTTCTTAACAGCTATAGCGTTATCGATCTAGAGGACTGGACCATTCAGCTGGGCGTAACCCGTCGCAACTCCTTTACTTACTCGGGTCAGAAGGTCAAGGTCAAGGCTGTTATCCCCCATCCACAGTACAACATGGCTATTGCCCACGACAATGACATTGCCCTCTTCCAGGTGAAGTCTACTTAAGCCATTGTTCAAGTTTTGTTTCCAATTGAATGGTAAATCCTTACAGCTGGCCACGAGAGTTGCCTTTCATGAGCACCTGTTGCCCGTTTGTTTGCCGCCTCCAAGCGTCAGGAATCTGCATTCTGGCACTCTATGCACTGTCATCGGTTGGGGAAAGCGGGAGGACAAGGACCGTAAGTGGAGTCTACAAAATAATTGTCAAATTAAACACTTTAATGTTGCCTTTAACCCACAGCCAAGTCCACGTACGAGTTCATAGTGAACGAGGTGCAGGTGCCCATCATCACGAGGAATCAGTGCGACGAGTGGCTCGAAAACTTGACAGTATCGGAAGGAATGGTGTGTGCCGGATTCGATTACGGAGGCAAGGATGCCTGTCAGGTAAGTACTACCATTCTATCATTCTCCCTCCCAAATAATTTGAATCATCCTAATCTGCAGGGCGATTCGGGTGGCCCGCTGCTGTGTCCGTATCCTGGGGAGAAGGATCGCTGGTTCGTCGGCGGCATCGTGTCCTGGGGCATAATGTGTGCCCACCCCCGACTGCCGGGTGTCTATGCGAACGTGGTGCAGTATGTGCCCTGGATCCAGGAGCAGATCGCAAAGCACACTCGTCCCATCAACGAGGATCGGGTGAACAAGTACGATCTGCATCCGGGTGGACCCGACATGCTGTCCAAAATAGCCACTGATCCAATGCAGAACGGAAAACCCTACTACTACTCACACTCCAGGACCTCGTCCAACAACTAATATTGGCTACAGTGGAAATACACACTGTAACACGGAGCATATCCATGAAACAATTGCACAAAAAACTGAAAAACAAATCAGAACCGATGGATCCTGTAGGATGCATACATATATTTTGCTACTGAACTTAGGGTATTGGCCATCCGGCTAACACCGATTTGGGCAACATCATCATATGTCAATTTGCCGAATTTATTTGTCAATTTTTTTACAAAGAGATTTCTATGAACCCAAGCCCAAGGAATCGACGAACCGAGTCAAACGAAAGAAATTAACCGAAAATGGGTGCAACCTATGTCAATACATATTGCATACGCGATTTATATATTTACACGTAAATTGAAGATAACCGATATGTACCCGATATCTAACCAATTGATAATTGTGTCTAAATACCCCAAAAACCCGGACAATAATTCGTTTTTGTAGCTGGATTTTGTGTTGAAAGGTCCCGGTAAAAACATCATGTGAAAAACGAGTAAGAATTCAGAAAAATATAGCCAAGCATAAATAGTAGAATCACAGCTAATGAATGTTGAAAATTAAAACAGGAAATAAGCAGATCAATTTAGACAATGTGTAACTATAACTAAACCAAAGAAAACAAGGAAAAATTGCTGATCTTGGGCATTTGATGGACTTAGCAGTAAGCTCTATTCCAAATATGCTGTTTTAAAAGAAGGATCTATATGAAACAATAAAAAACGTGCAGTTGACAATAATAAGAATGCACAATAAGCAAGTAAATGCATATAGCTGTAAGTCATGAAAATATTAACTACAATGCGTGGGTTTCAGCTTTAAAGAACACTAAAAGAAGGAAATAAGAATAAATGACGATGGTCAGAACAGAAGGATTATACTTATACACATAGCATACGATTCGTAATATTTTTGCGGTGAACTACAGAAGGTATACACGCTTCGATAGTGGATATGTCAATGTAACTTAATATTTAGAACTATTTACACGCCAAAGCAACTCGTTTGTCACGCCCCACTTAGACTGGCCGCTTTAGTCGAAGCTCAAAGTAACGCCCTAATTTCGATCCCCCCTCATCAATTATCCTCATGTGCCATCTAGTAAATACGAACGCTAATTTGTAGGCACAACTGTTTTGCACAGGAATCGTACGAAAATGAATGTAAAATATACGCGTAACTAAAGACTCAAAATCGGTTGTTCAACACACATTATAATACACGAGAAACACCCGAGCTTCGCGACGTGTATAGCTTTGATATATTTTTTTGTTTTCGAGTCGGATTCGTGGCCCAGTTCGGGCGGAATTTCAATACCTCGATGTTTTTCACTTATCGGTTCTAGCTAAAACCTGTTGAAATGCTTTAGACAAGAGATTGCAAATGTATAACCGATCACTACTAGACCTAGTTGGACATATTATGCCTACCTATATACATATATGCATGTTTTGTACAATCAGTTTACAAGTGGAAAGTATTATTAGTCTTAACGGGGGGTTAATGAAGCGCATATTACACAAGGCACACGATGTTTTAAGCGGAACATGAACACAAACCAATATGTAACTGAAATATATACAAGAAATATACATATAACGGATACATATATTCTATATATATATTGTAGTGGTAGCTTTTAAGCAGATGTGATGGTGTCTAAATTTATACATGCATATTACCAAGCGATAAGTGGAAAGCTTAGATTATACTCGAGACAAATCTGTGGGCTGTTGTAGATCGAGCATTCTAACTATAGTGAGGGAGTACAGCAGACAGATCCAGGACAATACATACTTATAAAGATATACCCATATCATAGGAAATATGCTTACTTCGATATTGTGCATTGCATGGAAATATATCGGTGTGTTACTGAAATCCCAAGGTGTCCGAAATCAGGGAATCTATTCTTTCATAGCACATTTTAGCCATCCCGAAGTGCAGGTGTTGAATCACAAGAAATTTAAGGCGCACCTCGGCGAGATGAAGTTTGTGTTTTAACTCCCTTAGCTGTTGCCTTGGACAGTAAGCCACTCCTTCACCTTTTCAGTTTTCTGGGGTTTACTCTCCATGTGCATTTACGATCACACGGATCATGGCGATCTTTTTTTATACACCCATGCTCCAGGCTACTATCAAAACGCTTAGCTTTATGTACATTTAGTCGAAATCGAACACAACCCATATTATATATATATATTGTAGATGTAAAATGCTTAGCATTGGCGAGTGGAGAGAGTGAAATAATTTACACGTGGCATACATTGCAAAATAGATAATTACTAAGTACAATATGCATACAATCAACACGTCGACTCAGAATTGTACAGGTCCCATAAATCCTAGTTGAATTTCCGCGCTTAACGGGGACTGCGCCCCAAAGGACTCGATTCAGTTCCGCATGCTCCATGTGCTTAGGAGGACACGACATAAACACAAGCCCTAAAAACCAAAGATCCCAAGAAATTGTAGCGAAACGTTATGTGTAAATGTAGCAAAACCCAAAACCAGAAGCTGATTAACAAACTAGTTGAATTTACCTGTGTCGCGAAAATATTGAAGCTAGAATATGTACTCACGTATCAGAATATTATATGTAAATGTTTAAAGATGATCATTTGATGAGAAGCACTTGTTATTTATGCACAGACGGAACTTTGTGAAGAATTTACAAGAACAAACTTTGACAATAAAATACAAACTGAATTTTTTCCTGTGAGCTGGACAAGCGCATCGGAGGCATTGAGAATTTAAGAACAGTTTTACATTCAGATTTTGAAGTTTTGATGCGAATCAGAGAATATTGTTGAACATTTACTTTGGCAAACAAAGGGAGAATAACCATGACAATAAGATAGACATTTGGTCAATGTCCTACAATAACTGGGAAAGTGCAGTATCCTAAATGTAACTACAAAAACTACACGCAGACACGTATAACCAACTAAATGCTAAAAGCAACATGTCATACAAAACATGATATATACTTACACACATATATTATATAAATGTTGGAAAATAAATGTATAAAAAAATATTTGATTGTAAATGTCTTTTAATAGTCGTTTCCCAAGAAACTCCAATCACTTACTATTGCAATTTTGTCAACATTTTGCGCCTTAATAAAAAATTTCGTCTATTGCTAACGTAACGTAAGTAAATGCATCTTCACGTGAGGTAGCCCTGCACCACGTCGCGCATGTCCTTGATAACCTTTTGCTGATCGGAGGCTCCGACTACGGCTGTACCCGATACGATCATGTTGGCTCCGGCTTTCGCACAGCAATCAATGGTCTTTGGTCCCACTCCCCCGTCCACCTCAATGTCCAGGTTCGGGTAGTTCTCGCGCAGCCACTGTACTTTTGGCATCATGTCGGCCATGAAGGATTGTCCACCGAAACCAGGCTCCACCGTCATTACCAGCACAACGTCGGCAATGCTGATGTACTTCTCCAGATCCTTAACCTTTAATAAAATGCCGTAAAGTATTTATTTTTTCATACCATTTTTCCTCGGGTTGTAAAAATAATTACTTTTTCTGATCTTATAAAACACATCTGTACGAGTGATTTTTTTTTAAAACATTCACAAACAACCATTCAAGAGACCGATATGGCCGTAACCTACCTAAGTAGTATATCCAACAAGTGGTTGATTTGAAAAGGAACTAAATTGAAAACCATCCGTAAGAGAATTCCATTTATAAAAATACGAAGGAGTCTTTCTATATATCCTATATCTGTACCTTTATGTCTTGAAGATTATAAATAAAGTGGAAAGGGCAATTTAATTATTGAAATTATAATGAAAATTAAAATAAATGCCTATTAAAATACTTTTGAGTAAATCTCAGAGAGCTTTCACCTAAGAACACTAATCTAGCAATAAATTGAATCCAGAAATCCAGTTGCAAGTATGGAGTGTCAAAACATAACCTCAACTCACCTCCGTTCCCGGCTTAATGGCCAGGCCCACTTTCATGCCGGATTCTTGCACCAACCGGCTGACCTTTACCACATCCGCAACCGGTTCAACGTGGAACGTGTAAAGATTGACTCCTGCATCGGCCATGGGCTCAATCCACTGCTCCGGATTCTGGACCATCATGTGTGTCTCGAAGAAGGCCGTCTGAATGGAATAATGGAGGATAAACGTAATTGGATATCTGGCTATACCGACTGCCCACCTTGATCTTGTTGCGCAAGCTCTTGACCACGGGATGACCGAAGGTGAGATTGGGCACGAAGGTGCCGTCCATAACGTCCAGGTGCAGGTAGTCCGCTCCATTTTCCAGTAGCTTCTGGGACTCCTGCGCCAGGTTTGACAGATCCGCATTGAGAATGCTGGGACCGATCTTGGCTTTCACTGACATCTTCTTAATGGCGCAAGTGCTGAGGAGACGGATCACAGAGCGGTTAGAGGACGCCGTCTTGTTTACTGGAGGTCAAACAGAGGGGAGCTGGAGCTCGGAACATTTGAAAACCGACACGATAACTATAGAGATGGCATTGTGCGTAGGGGGACTTTCAGAAATAGCGAACGTGTGGTGTCAAATGTCTTGGATTTTAAAGTTGATTTTTTATTGATACGTAAACATGTATGATTTCTGTCTTAATGTTAATTATAATCTCATCACTAATGTGTTATTCAGTATGTTTTGGTTTATAACATTTGTTTCTCAAATTATAAGCATATAGGAGCTAGACATTTTGCTCAATGTATATTATTTATGAACACTTATGAATTTTTACCATAAAACTGATATTTGATTAAATGGTAATAAAAATAAAATTCTAGCTTTAAAGTTTTTTGTGGACAATGATTTCATAAATGTTAAGAAGGTGTTATTATGTGTAACGGTAAAATATACACTTAATAACAAGTTTATTAATTATTTTAAAATAGTAGAGACTGATAAGAAAATTACAGGGTGGAAAAACATGTTAACAATATTATTACCTGTCATTTTTTTTAATAAAAAATTTAAGACTGTCCTTGGTTTAAGTTCCCATCTCTAGTCATGAATGTTGCAACGTTGCTGTTTGAATGGCCAAACAAATGGGGTACTCTTCAATAAATTCACTTTATTTAAATTTGTTCAACTTTGAGCTTAAAAATACTATGTTTGAGAATGATTTGATGAATTAGTACACTTTTCACCACCTAAAGTTCGTCCTTTTTGTAGTGTACTCCAGGGTACTCCTTGTTTTCAATGGAAACACCCTTACAGCGTTCCTGTTCGATGAGGAAATCCTTGGCCTCCCAGGCCTGCGTACCATCTTTGAAGAGGAAAATGGCACGGTTATCGTCGACCATGTAGCGCTCCGCCTGGATGTGATTGTTCCAGAGACTGGTCTGCCACAGCTTGGTGATGGTTTCGCTTTCTTCCTTGGTCGGGTTCCCGCTCACTGTGACGAAGGTCATCAGCGTGCGCCCTTTTTTAGAGATCTTTAGCAGTTCTTCTGGGTTTTTGCTGTCCAGATTGGTTATATCCAGCTTCGGCTGCGGTCGCAGATGCTCGGGCAGCTCATCCGCCTCCAGAGGCTCTTCATCCTCCTAAAAATATGACAAAATCCAGGGTTTTTTAAAGAATTTTTGTGCGCCTTAAAAGTAATACGATTTTTAAGGATTAAATTTGAAGTCGGTGTCGCCCGCATAATCGCCTTAGATTAGTTTCGTCACTCACCTCCCACTGGTCCAGCAAACGCTCCAGGTCCGCTTCGCTGTAGTCGCGAATATCCTTCTTGGCCCACGCCGGTTTTTCCTCTTCCTTGAACTTCTTAGCCAGGACAAGCGGCGCCAGAGCAAGAAGCATCAAAACAAGTCGTATTTGCATAGTTTTTCTTTATATTTCCCTTTGATTACAAACCCAAACACGTCACCTATCAGATTGCCATTCGCAGGGAAACGCTTGCACGCACAGCTGATTAGCAAAGTTGTGGCGAATACGACGGCGAATACCAAACAGCTGTTAGTTTCGGGTGAGCATTCAACGTATACGCGTCGTACGGGAGTAATACTTTGTTGATGCGTGGAAATGCCGCTGGTAATTGGGTGCAGTTAATGGAGATAAGACCAGCCTTATTTACACGTGCATGGAGTGGTGACACAAGCTGATTAATATCAGCCGCAGTTTGCCCTGTTTCACAATTCCCTTATTTTTATTAAAACAATGGGCCAGGCGAATTGTGTCAAAACATTTCAAATGCGTTGTACGATGACATCATCCACATTGTGTTTTTAATCCCCATCACCGTTCCATCTGTTTGGTTTTGTGTTTACGTATATTTTAGAAAAACATAAGAACACACAACGAACGCAAGAGTGCTTGAAACACGGCCACAAACAATTGGAATACAAAAAATCATCGAAGAAAAATCAATAGGAGCATCTGGTAGGACACGATGGTCTTCGAGGCGGTGGTAACGGATGTCCTGAACAAGGTTCTCGGCGACTACATAGAGAACTTGGATCGCAACCAGCTGAAAATCGGCATTTGGGGAGGTGAGTATCAGATCCCTCGGGAAGTATGACACAATTATGCTTCGCTCTCACGCAAATCCATCATTTTTGTTGAGGTCCCATTGTTTATTGCTCTTTATCTGCACGCAAGTAGATGACCTTATCCTTGGCAAATTACGATAAGTGACCCAATTCTATCGCAGCCAAGCATTCGCGTTTCCAAATGAGCTGTATATTGGCAAACTCATGAGAAAACAATTTAAAACTCTCATGAATTTTCAGAGAAGAGAAAAAACCAAGAAACGTACGGATTTAGATGGGTGGGACAACTGTTGCATCTTGTGGTGTATTGCTGAAGCTCTCATCTTTCCCTCTCTGCTGATTTATCACTTATATATAAATGACGGTCTGGTGTCTGTGTGAGAACGTAAACAATTTTTCAGTCTTTTATCTAAAAGTACTCACATTACTTCAGCCCGACAATGCGTTGGCATTCCATGTTTCTCGCTGTTAGACCACATTAGGCTGTGACTTTTTATAAATAGGGTGTGAACCCCCGAGACATCACCACAAAAATTTCAAGTTCAGAGATGGAACATATATAAAAGCCGAACAAACGGGTTTGTTTGTGATTTGTTACACAGGTCGGGAGTGACGGACCACGACAAGCCTGTTTTTGTTAGCCTGAGCTTGAACTCGGTGACATAATGTTGGCTCGGCGAGGTTTTTTATGTTAAATTTTTGAGATTAAGTACGTGATCTTAAATATTTTACTTAGGTAAAAGTTTTAATGGGCTACTGAATAAGTAATTAAATACGATTAGGCGTACAACAAATGTTGTTTTATTTAAATAACAAAGTGACCTAATCAGCACCGTCCACAATAAACAATTTCGTTATATTATTAAATTATTTTACTTTTATTAAGAAAATTACACTTACCTAGCTCAATATAAATAAAGTAATTTTTCAATGTAACTAAATTGTTTTTATAGTATACAAATGTGTTAATTTGTTAATTGTTCACTTTATGACACTTTTTGTAAATGTTCGAAAAATTGTATAATTTTTTGTAACCTTATTACACGTTAAACAATTTGTAGCATTATCTAATCTTATCTTGATTTTGTGTTTTATGATTCATCTTTGTTTTCATTTTCCAATCAACAAGTTAAACGCAATTCGAAATATACAAGGGTTAATGACACTTACTGCTTATTATTGTTATCTACGATTATAGGTTGTTACAGCTCCGCTATCGGAATAAGTTAAAATAAATACCACTGCATCGACTGTTGGTAATTGAAAGCCACTTGTAGAATTAAGTGTATCATGCCAGTGCAGTTAGAAATTCTATTATCAGTAGAGCACACGCTGCCTCGGAAGTTGCGTAAGCTTTGATGGGGTTGCTTGGTCGTTAAACTATTGACCCACATGCGTAATTCAATGAAAAATTCACCGTTTTGTGGGGCTCATTTCGCATTCCGAGCATAACAAACATTTAAATCGAAAAAGCCGCATGCCCAAAACGCCAGACAATATTGATATATTGGCTCGGTTGTTGCTTATCCCAGTTGTATAGGTCTTAATATAAATGGTGACCTCGGGTACAAATAATAAAGTTATTGTTCACTTACTTCTTAAAAAATCAGCAATTAATCAATGAGCATTTACTTCTACTGCTGCTGATGACTGATTACTGAAATTGATAAGACTAATGGAATCAATTTCGAACTTTGTTTGGCAGGCGATGTGGTCTTGAAGAACCTCAAGATACGGGACAATGCCCTGGATGAGTTGGACCTGCCTGTCCAGCTTATCTACGGTTACCTGGGTGAGTAAAATGTGTCCACCATCTGAATCAAACCCGCTCACAGGACCTGTTTTTAATTTTTAGGTAAATTGGTTCTCAAGATCCCCTGGAAGAATCTATACAGCCAGCCGGTGGTGGTCAACATCGAGGATCTTTACGTACTGGTTTCGCCCAACAATAATGTGCAGTATAACGCTGAAAAAGAGGCCAAATATGAGATGGATGTCAAGAAGGCGGCGCTGGATGCTCTGGAGGCAGCTCGCAAAAAAGAGTTGGAAAAGGGTGAGGTTACGTGAACAGAAATTAATGATTAAGAAGTTATATCAATTTTTTAACAGATAATCCCAAGCCCGACGCCGGCTTCACCGAAAAGCTGACGGCTCAGATCATAAACAACCTTCAGGTGCAAATAACAAATGTTCATCTGCGATACGAGGACACCACCACAACAGGCAGTCCCTTTTCTTTCGGCATTTCTTTGCACGAGCTGGAGCTCTACACAACTAATAACCTCTGGGAAAAGTCATATATGGCCCAACAGGCGTCCCAAGTCTTTAAAATAGCGAATCTCTCCTGTTTGTCCGCCTATTTGAACTGCGGTGGACATCTGTATGCGAACGATAAGACCACACTATCGACTCAGTTTCAGACTAATATTGCTACCAAGGATTTAAAGCCCAAAAACTACAACTATGGTATGGTTAGGTAACTGAAACTGATTGTAACTCCTGCTAATTTACTCCTTTCATATGACAGTGCTGGGACCCATCTCCTGTAATGCCAAACTGAAGCTGAACATGAACCCGGAGTTTGATGATCCGCCCTTTGAAAAGCCCAAAATCGATCTCACCCTGGAGATGGAAAAGCTAAACGTTGGAATGACTAACACGCAGTTCGACAACCTCATGAAGCTTGGAGATGCTATGAACCGCCAACAACTGGGCCTTCCTTATCGGAAGTATCGTCCTTACAACTTACGTAAGTGTAGATAGCCTCTATAACAGCCTTCACTTTATTAAAAACTGCTATTCACTTAAAGCCTACAAGGGTAACGCAAGGCAATGGTGGCACTTTGCCATCACATCGATTCTCGAGGAGGAAGTTAGGAAACCTCGACAGAGCTGGACTTGGAATCACATTAAGACGCATCGAGAGCGCTGCCACACTTATGCACAAGTAATTTCTTCACTTTGAATATAGAATTATCGCGTTATAAATACATTTGCCTTTTCAGAAATACAAAGAGCAATGCCTAAACAAGAAACCCCCAGCCGTGCTAACAGAAACCTGCCGTTTGCTGGAAACCGAATTGGACATATTCAACTTGCTGTTAATCAGACAGAGAGTCAATATCGAAATAGCCAAGGAGCGAGAGGCAGTGCCAGAACAAAAGCCGGGCTGGTTCAGCGGTTGGGGATGGGGTGGTGGAGCCAAAAAGGAAGATCAAACCGCCGGTCAAAAGTTGGGCAAGTGATTCTCCCATTTCTTAAGATCCTATGTTTTACAGCAATATTCTTTCTCCAGTTGAAAAATTCGAAGCTGCAATGACTGGAGAGGAAAAGGAAAAGATGTACAAGGCGATTGGTTACCAAGAGAACGCCAAGCCCACTGATCTGCCGAGTAGCTATGAGGCCATTAAGATGAACTTTAAACTAATAGCTCTGGAAGTTGGATTGTACAAGGACGATCAAGCGGGTTCTGCAAGATCACACGACTACCACCAGCTTCCCTCGCTGGTCCTTCTTAAGTTTTCGATGGCAACGGCCTCGATTACACAACGGCCAGCTGCCGAAGCCATTAGCATCACCGCTGGCATGAAGGAGCTGAAGGTCACGGGACTTTCACGCAAAGACTATACACCCTTGTTGGTTGAGTCGAAGATCACCGACGAGTTTAACCTGCTGGACGTGTTCTTCGAAACGAATCCATTGGACAAGTTGTGCGACCAGCGCGTAAAGGTGTTGGCGCGACCACTGCAGATTATGTATGATGCCCCCACCATCCTCGCTCTGATCAGCGCATTCCAGCCGCCTGGCGATGTCACGCTTTCCAAGTTCGAGGATGTGGCTAGCACGAAAATCTCCAACTTTAAGGAGCGCTCGGCCACCGGAATGCAGTACATGATCGACAAGAAGGCGGTGCTGGATGCGGACATCATGCTGATGCCAAACATACTGGTCCTGCCCCATAAAGGAGTCTTCGAGGCGGAGAACACATCGCTTCTGGTTCTGAGCATGGGCCAGGTGCACGTGTACAGCCAACCGCGAAAGGAGTCGACCAAGCTGGAGAAATTGTTCGCGGCGGGCGAGGATAAAGACGAGATCCTCAAAACGGTGATGGAAAATGCGTATGACAGGTTCACCGTCGAGCTGAACGATGTGCAGATGCTAGTGGTGAAAGCTGGGGAGCCGTGGCAAAGTGCGCTCAGGGAAGCCAATTCAACTGAGATGCATGTTCTGCGGCCCGTCTCCCTGAAAGTAACTGCCGCTCTCTGTGTGGTCGACAACGATCCGAGACTACCGAAGGTTAAGGTAGACATTGACCTTCCAGCGATCCTGGTTAACGTGTCAGAGGACCGCGTATTTCTGGCTATCAAGGTGGGCTTAAGCATTCCACTGCCAGAGCAAAAGCAAGAGGAAGGAAGGCTGACGCTAACCAACTCGCGAAGCTCGATGTCTATATCTAACTTCATAAATAAGGAAGTCAAAAAAATTGGTCCCGTGGCTTCGCCTGCCCAGTCTATCAAAACCTCGTCTCTAGACGAGATCACCCAGTACACCAACCTGGATGTTAACTTCTCTCTGGGGGAGATCAACTTCGTCTTGTTCCAGTCCAGTGTACGGAGCGATTCTACCTCCGACGTATCCATCGAGTTTCTCACGCCGGAAGGAGAACACCTTCCCTCGCAGCTGGCTGCGCCTCAGGAACCGGCTTATGAGCCACCACCACTTCAAACTCCCCCTCGTCAGATTCTCTCTATCGACATTCGCCGCCTAGAGGCTCATTTTGTTTCGCGAACATACGAGTCTGTGGCTACAGTCAAGTAAGTGCATTGAATCGTTTAGAGCTGCTCATGAATTATGTCTTGACTGCAACTTTCAGGCTTGGGGACATTAACCTGCGACAGTATGGCTGCAATGACGCTGACAACGAGGTGCTGGACGTCATCCACACGCCGAAAAAGGAGGATAGCTCCAACTATCTGTTCACCGTATCGTGCACCATTGCAGACAAGACATCGCCGGAATTCAGCACCAAGTACAACTCTACAGAACAGCTGGTTGTGGCAAAGTTCGAGGTGCTTCAGATTGTGCTGCACCAGGAGTGCCTACTACGAATCTTGGAGGTTGTGAATAAATTCCAGAGAAATCTTGATGTTGTAATGTCATACAGTCGGCCAAAAGATCGGATGGGCTCTATTGGCGGCGGCGATGGCTTTAAAAAGAAACTCAATGTGATCCTGGAGGATACTGAAGAAATGATGACCACCAATCAAATGAAGCGCCGCAGAAAGACGCGTCGCGATCGCGTGGTAGAGACTGTGAAGGTGCGTGTAATTGCAAACCTGGACGAAGTGGGCCTGCTGCTAACCAGCCGGAGCCGGCCATTGGCCGAGATGAATCTGAAGAAATTCGTATCCAGTCTCATAATTAAGTCTTCCTACACGGAAGTAAATATTGGCCTGAAGGACATCCAGGTGTTGGACCTGAATCCCTACACTATTCACAAAAATGTAAGGAGCTATGTCCCTAAAAGGAATCGAAAACTAATTTAACAGTTCTGTCTAGATCTTGAGTATTGTCGGCCAGGACGCGTTCAACTGCCAGGTGGTGCTGTACAACAAAGAGGAGACTCTCGACTACAATTCTGATGACATGAAAATCACCGTGGACATTGGCTGCATGAAGATCATCTTCCTAAATTGGTTTGTCTCAGGCGTAATGGTAAGAACTAATTAAACTGAACAACGTTAATATCACATTGTCTTAATGCACATTATCTTATTTCAGAACTTCCTGAACAACTTTTCAGAGGCCCAGGCGACCATTTCACAGGCAAGCCAGGCGGCTGCAGAATCCGCTCGCCAGAAGGCAATGGATGCCTACGAAACGGCCACGCGCATGAAGCTGAATGTCCGCATTAAGGCGCCCATTATCATTGTGCCAATTGGCTCAAACGACTCGAATGCCCTGTCACTTGATCTGGGTCTGCTGGAGTTGACGAACAACACTGTTGAGGTCGCGGTACCCAATGAGGAACGCCTCGCTGTTATAGACGAGATTAAGCTGCACATTTGCGATGTGAAGATTTCCAAAGTAGTCTTGCTAGATGGCAACGAGTCGACTGCGGATGGTAAGATCAGCGGTTGTTATTGTTTTCATACTCGTACACGAATGCTGTCTCTCCCCAGAATTGGATGCTGCTGTGGGCTATTTTTCGAAATTCAATATGATGAATCCAATGAGTTGCACTTTATTGGTTACCCGTAATTTGTCGTACACCTGGTACAGGGATGTGCCCGAACTAAATCTTTCTGGTCGTCTAAAGTCAATTGAAGTAAGTTCTGTGCAAATCAATTTCAGCAAAAGCTAAAACTCTCACTTAAATTGTAGCTCACTCTCTTCGCGGACGACTATGCTTTGGTAATGTTGATTCTTAATCGAAATTTAAACGAGGGCTTGGATGAGTTTCCTCCAAGCGAGGAGGCAACACCAGAACCAAAGTACCGTTTCGAAAGACGTTCATCCCGTGTTGAGCGCACGCCGAAGCACATCGAAGCTACTCCAAAACGAGAGAAGATTCACGAAGCGATCAAGTTTAACTTTCAGTTTGACGGTGTGATAATAAATCTGATGGAGGGTGAGTAGCTGAGGGAATTCGAAGCCTTACTTATTAGCTCAAATATTATGCTTTTAGCTGAAGACGCCGGACTCGCTCGGTTTGGGATATATTTCCTATCCATTAAGGGCACAAAGCTGGACAATGGCACTCTGAGCACCTCGGTGGTTCTCTGCAATATCCAAATGGACGATATGCGTAAGAATTCTAACAGCCAGATCCGTCAGTACCTTAGCCGCAAGGATTGGGTTCAGCCAAAGTTGGAGGCGGACGAGATCATCGATGCTTGCTATAACGAACGCAACTTCATGGTAGATGTGACTGCCATAATAAAGGAGGACGACACATTTGGTGGGTGCGCTCTTTAACTTTTAGAGGTCCTGGCTTCTTACTTTTATATACTCTATTGCAGCTGAGGTCCGAGTCCGTGGCTTCGACCTGATCGTCTGCATCGACTTTCTGCTAAGATTGTCAAAGTTCCTTGCTCTTCCACCGGATGAGACCTCGCCTGAAAATTCAATTGTTAAACCATCCTTGGTTGCGGAAACGGCGCAGGACGCCAGGGCAACGCTTCGCTCCTCCGCTAAGCTTGCCGCCAGCGAACTTGTTCCTATGGAATCAACCAGTTCGTATAAAAAGAAAATATGTTTACAGATACCCTCATAACATTATTTGTTCATCCAGGTCCTATTGCGGCACCAAACCGAAAGATGAACCTCATACTGCACATCGATGAACCAGACATAATATTGGTGGAGAACTTGGAAGATCTGAACACTAGCTGTATTATTTTCAACGTGAGTTTGTTTTATACTGTATTTTATTGTGGCTAAGAGATTTTGAAAATTTTCCAGGCACAAGCTCATCTGAATTACCGCAGCATAAATGACAAGCAGATAATAAACGGGCAGATCGATGCCCTGAAAATGTACATGTGCGCTTTCCTTCCTGAGCGACGAGAGATGACTCGTCACTACATTCTACATCCATGCGTTATTAGTCTGCAGGGCTCCACGCCCGAAGAAGAGGGCATGCACATCAGCCTAAAGCTGAGCGACATTATCATCAACGTTTCTCCGGCCACCATTGAGCTGCTGAACAAGGCGATGGTCAGCGTCACCAGCGGGACCACGGCACAGGCCGTCATTGCAGAGGAGTCGCGCAACTATTCAAATCTGTGGCATCCACGACATTTCCATAACCGCACCTACTGGTTCACTAGACCGGAGAAGGCCGTCGAAGCCCTGGAAATGGAGAACATTAGTAGCGACAGTTTAAAGCAAAAAACGGAGAAATGCGTAATAGAGATTCCCAGCATCACGCTCGTGATCGAGTCCGGCGTTGGCTACTACACGAAGCCACTCATCTCACTGGACACGCGCATCACGGCTGTGTTCAACAACTGGAGCCGTAATCTCACCGCCCAGGGCTCGTTAACACTAAATATGGTAAGTTAGTTAAATGTTTTTTAGGATGTTACAACGAGAAAAATCCTATGGATTATACTATATAACTAAAGTACTATTCAACTGGCCATTTCTTCTTACCGTTTTTCAATGTAGAACTACTACAACCAAGCACTTGCCGAATGGGAGCCCATAATTGAGCTGAACGAAGTGGTTGGCCGCAACGGTGTCCACGAGTACACGCCATGGGAGCTGAAGTTCGAAATGGGCATGGAGAAGGTGCAGAACGAAGCGGAGGACGCTGGTGAGCAGCAGGCCATGCACATGAAGATCAACTCGGCGGAGACTCTAGAGATAACCTTGAGCAAGACGTGCCTGGGTCTGCTAAGTGAACTGGCTGAGGCCTTCTCGCAAGCCATCGACCAGAAGGGTCTGACCAAGCCAGAGATTGTGGCTCCTTACGTGGTAGAGAATGATACGGGCTTCGACGTTAACTTGAACTTGTGCAAGGGCATCTTTACACTGCACGAAGTGCACCGCGGTGCCACGCCGTCAGGTCTAAGTAGCACCCTAGTTTTGTCTGCCAACGCAGGGCAGGTCGACCCCAACGAAATAAAAACCTGCACGATTTCGTCGGGCGGAAGAGCGTATTTGCAGACCAAGGACTTGAGCACCTTGTCCGATGAGGATTCCGAGGACTACACTCTCTATGTGACGGTAAGAGCACAAACTAGCCACGTTAAATCGGACTATCTAAACTCTTTATTTGGCAGATTGGCGACATTGACAAGGAGATTGCACTTCCAGTGTCAAAATCGGATACCCGATACTTTAATCTAATGCGCAGCACTTCTAATCAGCCGTGGGGCATAATTTCCGAAGTAAAGCAGGAGTATGGCACCACTAAGCTCAATATTCACGGAGTTGTTAGCGTAAGTATAAAAAATGCGCGGTTGATGAAAATATTCTTCATCGTCTTCCAACCTTTTCAGGTTCATAATCATTTTACGAATAGTATAAACATTTATCGACGCAACACCATGCCCACGGCACAGAGTTTTGAGGATATTTTCGTGGGACGTGTTCGTGCTGGCGAGGTTTTCCATGTGCCACTGCACGCCATCTACGCGGAACCCAAGGAGCTTCACTTCTCGATGCGCGGCTACAGAACCTCAGTCCAAGGCATTTCGTGGGCTGCCAGCCCCTCGGACCTTAACTACTCGCACCAGCTGCATTGCGGCCCAACCAAGACATTTGAGCCGCTCTTCATCAACGCCCGGCGAAAGAAGACGGAGGTCTACTTTGAGAACACCTCCAAGTACACGCTGCTGAGCGCCACTTACACAATTCACCTGCGCCCGCCACTCTATCTGCGCAACTCCCTGCCCATCAATATCAAAGTGTCGGTGGCTGGGTGCTCGGTCCGCAAGGAGGATGGATTGGATGCCCAATCGTCGCAGCGGGTAGTGGACAGGGGTTTCAACAAAGAAGACTTCCTCGACTATGGCGAAAAGGAGGTCAACTCAGGCGATGTGCTTCATCTGCCCACTGTTCGATTGGCCGGAAAGAACAAGGAATCGAAGAGCTTTCTGGTTGTTCGGGTGAGTGAATCTCAATTGATAGAAGGTGAATTCCAACTTAGAAACCTTCTCTTGTTTAGTTGGTTCAATACCTGGAAAAGGACTGGTCCTGTGCCACCGAGGTCTGGGATTTCAGCGAAGATGTCGTCACCTGGACGTTCTCATCATACGACTCTGAAATGCAGGTGGACATGGATCTCTATGTGAAGTGAGCAGCCATAAAACCAATTACAAACAAAATCCTTTTTAATTAATAATAATACGCACTTTCTTATTTTTCAGGTCGGAGAACCGGCATGGCAGCCTAATGCTCACCCTCTACAGCCCCTTCTGGATGATAAACAAGACGGGGCTGATGCTCACCTACAAAGCTGAAGCGACCTCCGTAGAAGTACTGTACCACCCTCCCGAATATTCGGGACCCATATTGTTCACGTTCCGCGACAAGCTCTTCTTTGATAAGAAAAAGGCGTCCATCCGCGTCGACAATGGCAGCTGGAGTGAGAAGATCCCGCTGGACGTGGCCGGATCGATCGGCGAGGTGTCCTGCGATGCGAACAACCAGAAGTATCCGATCGGTGTTCACAACCACTTGACTCAGAACTCGCTGACGAAGCAGATCACCTTAATCCCCTTCTACATTATGTGCAACAAGTGTCACTTCGACATCGAGCTGCAGGAGCAGAGCCGCCCGGCTGACCCCTGGATTCATCTAGAGCCGCATCAGTTCGAGCCCCTCTGGCCGAGAAACGATTCCAAGAACAATCTGGTGGTGCGCGTGGAGGGCAAGGTGACGCCGGCCTTTGATTTCACCGAGGTGATCTGCACGCTTCTGAAGCTAGAGAACAGCAAGTACGGCGGCATCAACGTGGACGTTCAGACGACGGAGGGCGGCGTCTACATCACGTTTACGGACTACAAGCCAGCCGATGCTCCCGGCCTTCTGATCAACCACACTGGCATGCAGGTTGTCTACTACGAGAAGGGGACAAAGAACGAGAATATCCTGAATGCCAAGAGCACTATAATGTATGCCTGGGATGACCCAACAGGTCCCAAAATGCTCGTTTTTGGCGCCAACAAGCAGGAGACGGATCTTAAACGCGACGACATTGGAGAGGTGGTGTAAGTCACTCGAAATCCTTTAGGTTTTATTTCAGTCTAGTAACCCGTTTGTACCTTTAGCATGCAGGATGGCACTAAAGTTCTGTGGGTATCCTTCCTGGACGGCCTGCAACGAGTGCTGCTTTTTACCGAAGACCAATCTGTTGCGAATCGAACCGAAACCACATCTTCGCTGCAGTCCATCACCCAGAGCATCGATCTGCGCATTCACGGCATCGGTCTGTCAGTGATTAATAATGAAACGGGCCTCGACATTCTGTACCTGGGCATCACAAGCTCCGGAATCATATGGGAGTCAAAGAAGTTGAGCAAGAAGCGCTTCAAGGAGTTCACCATTCACGACAACGCGCTTATTGAGAGCGAGTACCAGAAATACCTGGTGCACAAGAGTGTAAACGATGTGCAGACTTACAAGCTTGACAACAAGTTCCCGGTAACTACCCAACGAATCAGTATTGATGCCCGGAGACTAAATCGTTACCTTTCAGATCGATTTTGACCGAATGATCCTCAAGAAGACGGTGGAGCGAAACTTACAACGCAGCTTCTACCCTGCGATTTCGGTGACGCGCAATTCTTCGCCATTCCAGAACCAGTTGCATGTGAAGATCAACCGCATCCAGGTCGACAACCAGTTTATGGATCCAATATTCCCAGTGGTCTTGGCGCCAATCCCACCGCCGAAGAGCGTGGCGAATACCGTCACCCTCAAGCCGTTCATCGAATGTAGCATGGTGCAGCGCATCATGCCCAATTCGACGGTGCGGCAGTTCAAGTACGCAAAGATCCTGATCCAAGAGTTCCTGTTCAAGGTCGACTTGCTCTTCCTCACGGCCATCGCAGACATGTTTGCCAAGGAGACGTCCGACGAGACAGCGGCCAAGCAATTCCGCCAGGACGTGGAATCCATTGAGATGCCACTCTCCGCCTTCTTCGAAGAGCACTCGTTGGAGGAGCAGAAGAGCTTCTACGACAATCTGCATCTGGGCCCGCTTAAGATCCATGTCAGCTTCTCGATGGCTGGCACGGACACAAAGGCGCTGCCCGGTTTTCTGGGCTCCTTGGTGCAGGGCGTGGGCGTGACTCTAACAGACGTTAACGACGTCGTCTTCCGACTGGCCTTTTTCGAACGCGAATATCAATTCTTCACCCAGCAGCAGCTGATCAACGAAATCACCTCGCACTACACCGGCCAGGCGTTGAAACAGCTTTATGTCCTCGTCCTTGGCTTGGATGTGTTGGGAAATCCTTACGGCCTGGTGGTAGGATTAAAAACGGGAGTCCAAGACTTGTTCTACGAACCGTTCCAGGTGAAAATTAATTCCATTGCATTTAATGAATGGCCTGTAAATTGAATTATGTATTTTTAAGGGCGCTATCCAAGGACCGGGTGAGTTTGCCGAAGGTTTGGTACTGGGCGTGAAGTCACTATTTGGCCACACGGTTGGTGGAGCTGCAGGCGCTATGTCCAAGTGAGTTGCACCTTTACTAAAAATGATTGAATTGATTTTCTAGCTCACCATTTCCTTTACAACCAACAGAATCACTGGTGCCATGGGCAAGGGCTTGGCTGCACTCACCTTTGACGAGGACTATCAAAAGAAAAGGCGACAGGGAATTCACAACAAGCCGAAGAACTTCCACGAAGGCTTAGCCCGTAGCAGCAAGGGCTTGGTGATGGTAGGAGCTTTCCCAATTGTATTTTATTAAGCATATCCTAATTTCTTTTCATTCATGTAGGGCTTTGTGGACGGCGTCACTGGCGTTGTAACCAAACCAGTGTCTGGGGCTCGCGACAACGGAGTCGAGGGCTTCTTTAAGGGCCTGGGCAAGGGTGCAATCGGTCTGGTGGCTCGCCCCACCGCTGGTGTGGTTGACTTCGCCAGCGGCAGCTTCGAGGCTGTGAAACGAGCGGCGGACGCGAGCGAGGATGTGAAGCGCATGCGACCGCCGCGTTTCCAGCATTATGACTTCGTGCTGAGGCCCTACTGTCTAATGGAGGCAACAGGCAACAAGATAATGAAGTAAGTTACTACAGTGGGGTCCAAAACTTTTAAATTTTCCCTGATTTATGAATCAAACACATTGCCACGAAACACTTGGACAATTCTTTGGGCTCTGTGATATTTATTATTTGGATTATTTTAATTAATCCCAAACCCGCAAATCATAATTAAAACAGTGCATAAAATCTAATGTTACACCTATCGCTCTTTCATCAGGGAAACGGACAAGGGTAAGTTTGCCACCACGGACAATTTTATCCACTGTGAGGAGATCATCCAGAAGTCCGAGTACCTGGTAATAACCAACTACCGCGTGATGTACGTCCAACGCAACGAGATGTTTGGCATCTGGACGGTAAATTTAACACACATTCTGTTAGTCATGACTATTTATGCATGATTCTTCCAAACGCAGTCCCTCTGGTCGTACCTTTGGATTGAGATCAGCGACGTGTCTGGCACATCTCTCGGAGTCCAGTTCACTGTCAAATCGGATGGCAAGAAGGTATTGGGTCTATTCAGCAGCAAGGAGTCGAACCGAAAGGTGGTCATTCTGAAGGACGAGCGCAAACGTACCGCCCTGTTGGACATAATTGAATCTCAGCGCGCGGATCCCAATCCGAAACGGACAACCCTCAGCTACCCGTCATACCACTAGCAAGAGACCTGAATTTATTTCCCAGCTGTATTATAATCCGAGCACATCCCCACTGCACCAGCAACGACATGGAAATCTACCTCGATCATGAAGATTCTGTCTGTCCAGGCACCAGACACCATGCACCATGCACCTGCACCATGCTCCCAATTGGAAAACTCACACTCACGTGTCGTACTTTTACGATGTTAACAACCATTCTGTTTTGATATTAAAATTTTATGTCAAAGTTTATGTGACACCCGGAGAGTGGTTTTCACTAGCCTAAGGATTAAATCTACAATACAGAGACGAACGGGCTCTCCAGGCTGTCGGATGTTGAATAGTGGATGACGGTTGTCAGTCGACGGATGTGCGGCAGGCAGCCTACACCTTCTTCAGGAAGCTGCTGGGCGTCGTGGCGAGGGGCATGATCGGCTCGTAGTTGTTGCAGCCGTCGCTTTCGCAGAAGGAAGTCAGCGAGGCAAGTGCGTTGGCGGCCAGCGCCTCCACGCTGAACATCGTGGACAGGTGGCCGCTGCTCTCGAACTGGTTGATGATCATGTTCACCTTGCTCTTGGCCTCCGCCTTTAGGCACGGCGACGTGGGCTGGCTGCCCGGCAGTCCCGGGTCCCGATCGCCCGGGCTCGCGTCGTAGCCCTCGCCCAGTTCCGCATCCGTCAGCAGGTTCTCCTTCTCGCTCTGCTTGCACTTGCCGTTGCTCGGCGATCCACTGCCCGTGCTGGTCGTCTTCAGGCCGGTGCTCTTGTTGAGGCGACTGAGGAACCAGTTCCGGGCCAGCTTGTCACAGTCCTTGCTGGCCGGACTCGATTGCGGCGAGGTCGGCGACTTGCGCTGCTTCTTCTGCTCCTTGCTGTGCGTTTGAACGGGACTGGTCAGCGGCGAAAGCATTTCCGGCTCGCCGCCATTCGCGTAGCTCTTCTTCACGGCTTTCTTCAGGCGGTCCGGACTGGGGCCGCCCGCCGACAGCTGGGTGGAGAGTTCGCTGTGCACGGTCTTCACCTTGGCCTGGAAATCGAGGGACAGGTTGCCGTGCAGGCTGGAAAGCTGCGGCTGCGGCTGCGCCTTGATCTCCACCTCGTGAAGCAGCCCCAGGGACTCAACCTCGCCGCCAGAGGAGACAACTCCAGGCGAGACCACTTCCTGGAGCGGCTGAGCCGGACACTTGGGCACATCGTACTCGAAGCGTCGGGCCAAAGAATTGGGACTGTTGTTCTTCTCCGGCAGCTTCGGCAGCACCATGGCCGACGAGTCGATGAGGCCGTAAATGGGCGAGGGCTCCTCGTAGATGATATCCGCTGCGGTGTAGTTGGATTTCTTCTGGACCGGAGGCGTGGGCAGTTTGCGAGGCGGTGGGCTCTTCAGCGGCGGGTGAGCACCGGCATCTCCGCGGATAGCCGCCTCGATGGCGTGAATCCACTCTTTGGCATCGACTTCGTTGTTGGCCTGGTACACGAACTTCTTGTTGGGGTCGTCGGTGGTGATCTGGAAGCAGATGTCGCGCCGCTTGCCCTCCCCGAAGTGCTCGATCTCGATGGAGGAGCTCTTCAGGTAGAGGGTGCTGCTGGGCCGGCAGGCAGTCGGTCCGTCCGCGTAGCACAGCATCCAGTCGTTGAGGATGCCGCAGTAGCACTTGCGGGTTTGGTCAAAGAACAGCCGCTTCGGAACGATCCGCTGCAGCTGTCCGTACTTGGTGGACCTCTGCAGGGACAGGTGGCCAGCGGGCAAGTCCGCGTAGGGACAGTCGATGATCACCTCGTGGGTAAAGGTGATCGCCTGCTGGGCCTCGTCCTCGTCCCCACCCGTTCCCGTTCCAGTTCCCTGGCCCTGGCCCTGGCAGATCTCGTAAAGCTGCTGGTGTGGCTCCTTGTCCGCCGATCCCGCAACCGGTTGGCTGGCGGAGCAACGGTCCAGGGACCCGCTGCTGCCCAGATCAATGTATTCCCGCGAGGCCGACACTGCAATTAGGAGTAATTAGTGAGAGTTGTAGACATCAAGAACAGTCATGCTAAGAAAAGCCATAACAAGTTTCAGGCCGTGTGTCTCTTTGACTTTTTTTCATAAATAAAAACTTTAATAACTCCAGACGTTTTCGTACATTTACTATCCACATTTGTCAGCAACTAATTATTCAAGTCAAATTTTTATAAAATTTTTGTTTAAAACAGTTAAAAAGTCCTAAGAAAATATTAGGATGTTGGAATTTGATTTCAATACTAAATTGATCATTCTAAAGTTTTTTTCTTTTATCGATGTACTATATATTATTTTTTTGTGTATACATTTGAATTCCAATATAAAAACTATATTTGTGTATTTGTTATTTAGTCGAGATTGAGATTGGATTAACATTTTTGAAGAGATCAATAATTTTATTTTAAACAATATTCAAATTGTTATAGGTGTTTTCCCTGCTCTTTTTTGATATCAATATTTTAATAGTGGGTTAGTGACACCGGCTAATGATAGAATTTTAAACGTTGAGTTATAAAGGTTTGCCTGAATATACATATAATCTCCCCTGGAGCACTTACGCGAGTTTTTCGAGGAGGACGGCGAGGCGAGCATCTCCAGATAGCCGCTGGGACCGGTCTCCGCGCCCACCTTGCTGTCGACACAGTCGGCCAGGCTGGTTCGGTGGCTGACTGCCGTCTGCTCGTCTGCGCATCCCGATCCAGATCCAGATGCAGATGCAGAAGCAGATGCAGATGAAGCCAACAGAATCTCGCAGCGGGCCAGAAGTTCGGCGGTCTGCTCGGCGGCAGTCATGTGGAAGAGGTTCGAGGCGTTCTCGTACTCCGAGGTCTCCAGCGAGGCTCGGAAATGGGCGCGGACATCTGCAGTGGAACCGGGAAGGAGAGGATCGTAAGTTCTAATGTCCGCTTTTAGTTTTTCAGCTGGCTAAATAAGGCGGCGGCCCCATTAGCTATTAATTTTTAAACGCATCATTGGCCCTAATGGCGCGGCAGTTGAGCAAGAGTGTAGGTTCCATGAGGTTCCATGAGGGGCAATTAGTGGGCCAGTCGAGTGGTGTGGTGGGGTGTTGTCTTCTTTAGTTTCTGCAGCAGTGACTCACTGGGCGGTAAGTTAAGTACTCCGGTTCCCAGTATAAAGAGCGACCGACCGACCGACCAACCACATACACACAAGTGACCTCATAAAGCTCTCGCTCAAGAGTCAACTGCGAATTGACCGCGGCAATTAAAAATAATTTCACTGGACAAGAAAGTTAACTTTGCGGTCTGCGACTCTGGGCCCCCATCCTCTAAGCAGAAGTGCCCACATCCACAAGTATAAATTATTTAACGGTAAAGAAAGAAAAACAGAAAAGACTTAAATTTGCAAGAAATCTTGTTAAAATTTGAGCACGCAAACCTCTGGAGAGCTGATCTTTAAACGTAATACGTCCGAATATGGCAATAAGCAAAATACCCGAAAGTCGTGCTCGCAAAACCCGAACTTGAAATGCCCTTAAAAATCCACTCAGTGGTAAATTGGGTTGAAGTAGTTAAAAAGCATAAACAAGAATGCGAATCTTTTTAGTACATTTCTTGTGTGATCATTTACTTCGATTAATTATTTTTTTTCCACCTTATTTTGTTTGCTTCAATAAAAGTTAAATTTTTTTAGTTTAGTTAACCTTTTACGTTTAGGACTTTCATGACTGAATAAATAAACTGCATTAAAAAGATATTTTCTCTCGCCGGTTAATTTAGGCAAAAACTTTACGACAAGTCTAACCTACAATTTAAAATAAAGATGAATGGATTTTTATATTGTTCATTACCGAAATACTCAGAAATAAACTGCTGCTTAAGATATGAAGTTGAAAAATACAAAAATGCATAAATACTGATTATAAAATTAATTTTGTTGGAATGTACGCTTGTGTTTTGTCTTAAAGAGCAGCTGCAGGAAAAGCAATTGATAAACATTGGCTTAACCAGAATTAATGGAAGCTCCCCAGCGACTTACGTATTTTCTCAATATTTATAAATCATCAACAAAGGGGCCACTTCAGCTGCGATTTACTCAAGCAAAGATAAATTAAGGCAACAGTCATCGGAGGAGGGTTTGATATGCTTCCTATGCCCTTCATCTTGCCAGAGCCAGTGAACCGAAACCTGAGAAAATTAAACTGACTAAAGAAGACGGCCGGGGAGGCGAAAGAGGCTAAAACAAGCGCTTTAGGCTTAGTTTTGCGGCATGTCCAATCCTCTGTTTATTGTCTACCTTGTGCATATACACATGTATAACGACGTATAAACGATTCGGGGGAACAGTCCGACGCTCCAACGGTCCAACAGTCCAACGAGGAGTCCAAATCGGTCTCGATAAAATGTACGAAATATACGCAGAGCAGAGGAGGCCGGAAAAAATGGCCAGAAGAGTCTGATGGCCATAAGCCAGAACCAGAACAAAAGAGTATTAAGCTTGGACGCCTGCGGAATGAGTCAATAATACTCTGGCAGTGGGTTATTGTTAATGCTCGTGTGTCGGAGTTTGCGTCTCCTCCTCTGTTTCCAGTCGGTGTGTAATTTTTTGATCGCACTGTTGCCCCGGCTAAATTAACAAAGTCTCTGTTGATCTATCTCACACTAACTGGCTTCAATTTTGCTTTTCTTTTCACAGCTGCACACAAAGACGTACTTTAAAACGATCTGTACAGTCAGAAAATCATTTCTAACTTGAATACCTAATCATTTCTATCGCAAAGATTAATGTTCTTGCTAAAAGAACAAGTAAACCGTTTTCTTGGATCAATTCAACACTTTCATCTCTAAAAAAAGTTCTTAAAAAAATATTCAACCGATCTAAAAATATAATTAATTCTAATTTTTGGTTGCCAAAACCGTTTTATGGGGTAATAATCTGACTTTATTGTAACTGCTATTTAAATGAATTATCACCTCAGATTGTTTCTTTGTGTGCATACAAAAAAAATAAACTTACCCAACAAAAACTGTTCGATTTCGGGCCGCTTAGTAGTGGCCTTTGTATCCATGGCTTGTAGGTTTTGCTATTCTTGCTGTTTTGTATTTTGTATTTAGTATTTGGCTTCAGTGTTAATTTGAAGCGTTTTGCGTTAATGTGCGTTGAGTGCTTGTTGTGCTGCCGATCGTTTGATTTCTCGCCTGGGCTTTATTGTGGCTTCTCTCCGATCTGGATCTGAATAGTCATCTGTATCTGTATCTGTATCTGGCATATCCACCAACTGCACACACAATGTTTCGAGTTAGGAATTAACAGTTTGCTGTCAAAAGTGGATAACACATTTTTTATAAGATCACATGCACAACCGAGACCGAGACCGATGGGATGCAATAATATCTTCGATTGGGGAGTCGAGCGCGCGATACGACCGGAGTGCTACTGAAGGTGTTCCTGGATTATCGGCTGGCCGTCGTAAAGAAAACACCTCCCCCGCTGCGAACCCGCTGGGAAGATATCCTATTAATAGACGGACCATCGAGCACCACTGTACGAGTATAGCCAGCCAGATATCCGTACGCGTCGAACTACAATGCAATCTATCTATTGCGCCTGCAGTTCTCGCTCTATTCGTTTTATTTTCACTATTGTCTACTGTTTATACTGCTATTTTCGCTTTTTTCGGTTGCACGCTTCGTTTGGCGCCTCATGGAAAATCAACTGATGACGTTATGTACGGGTATCTGGCGGGTAAAGTATCTAGATTCGTTGGTGGGGAAACTGTTGCCCGTTGACTGTGTGTGCCTGCCATTAAACGCCATTACGAAATCCCTCTTCGTGCCGCACTTGTCTGGGTGTCTCCGTTTTTGTTTAAATTTTGTTTTTCACTTTTCCGTCGTGTCTGTCATTTGCGGTTTCCACTGTTTTGCGGCCAAGAATCGAATACGAACCCGGGGTGCCCACACGCAGAGGAGCTCGGACCTCGGGACCTGTGCCTCCGATTGGGCCCCTTGTTTGGGGCCAAGCCTTTTAATTGTGACTCATCTGAAAGGCGACGCGTGTCGCCACAAAGAAGCGACGTCTGCCCAGAAAAATGCAAATACTGTCGAATTTTTGTTATCCAAAAATATGTCTGCTGGACAGGCATCGAATAGTTTTTAAAATCCAAGTATCTACATGACTTTAAAGGCTGTTGACATTATTTTTTCAATGCACAATATTTTCTTAATTTGTTTCAATTAATGTAAAATAATATTTGTTCTAAGAAGTAAAACATTTGCACTCCTTCCACTTTTCAAACATTTAATTCTATTATTAACCTAACATACTAAAAGATAGTCTCTGTAAATTGTGTATCGTATATATCTAAGATTTTTTACTATAGTTTGGGAGCCCAACTACATAAGCAAATTGCTGACCATTTCTTTAAGCTATACTCTATACACCTTGTGCAAGTACGTGTCTAAAGTCTGCTTTTACTTTTCGGTTCTTGATTTTTTATTGTGGCCATAAAGCAGAAATGTAATTTAATTTGCACTGGACGGCCGGACTATTTGCTTCCTTTGTGCCAGCCGTTGAAAATATTTATTGATTCAGAACATTTGCAACCCGACACCGACACCTTTGTTTGCAATTGATAAACGAACGGCAAATTCTCGACGGCCAGTTTCGTTCCGCGGAAAAGCCAAACAAAGTGTTTGCCAGCTGGCTTGGCTGTGCGAGACTTTTCCGGCCACGAAACTTGGTGGAAACCTGTGCGCAGGCGTGTCTGACACCCCACCGCCTTCCCCGCGCTCCTTCCGCACTTCCGGTCATTTTCGACGGGCCGACTTCCTGCCGGTACTGAGCGCCCCCCAATTAAAGAATTACGAAATGCATCCACGCACAGAGTTTGATTTTGCATCCGGTTTTCCAATGCGTTCTGACAACGTTGACACCTTTTTTTCGCTCGCGGGCGAAGTTTTCATCGCGGGAGCCAAGAAGCGAGCGCGACTTTCTGGCTGGTCCGCCACCATGAATCACTCGAGCTTAACTGACTGAATTGGGGCCTCTCTGGGGGCTTCAGCTCTGGGATGCCCGCCGATGGTCGCCCGATCGCTGACGAAGAACCCTCGGCTGCGGCTCTCTCTGCACTGCGCAAAATATCGCTGTAAACTTGAATCAAAAGTTGATTTTAAGTTTTATTTTTTAACCAAAAATGTTAAAGTGCACAACAAAAGAATTATATACGTTATAAGAATTAAGTACGTTATATAAATAACGTACTTTTAATATTATTTTTAATGCTATGTTATACTAATATTTGCTTATATATTTTTTTATAAATACATATAAAAACAAATACAAACGAAATAAAAAAATTTAGATAATTTAAGAAAATTGCTTTTTATATTAAGAAAAATATTGATGATTACTCAGGTCATTATATTTTCAAATTAATCACCTTTTTTCAGCGTGTAAAATCAAATGAGTGCGGATTGCTTTATTTTGCATTGTTTTTGGGGAAACTGACAGCCGGCCGGCTTTCTGAAATAAAGGTCCACGCCCAATCCCCATCTTCCATTCGCAATCCTCATCCTCGACTAGGCAACCAAAATTTCTATCGTTTTTGCCACATTTAGAGAGTCGATCTTGCCGCTGATATCATATTTTAGAGAACATCATGCCCACTTTGGCAAAAACAAAACAGGATGACCAACTACGGTCAACGGTACTACATCACTAACTGGAACGACTTAGAATCATTAAACATCATAACTAACTAGATCGACGTAAAGGCATTACACATAAGTATAGTGATTTGTAAAAACAGATTAACATATAACTTATAAATAATAAATTATCATACAAGGAACAAATTTATTTCATATAAAAAACATTTTTTAATCGACATTTTTATTTATTGTTTTTGTTTATATTTAGAAAATATTTTAGTTTCAAACAGCACGATTACTTAATAAAACTATATAGATTAAACGTAAAAGGACACCTTCCTGTAGCTTTAATTTTCCAACGCGCACTTTGAGCATGGCCTGAGTGGTTCAATGCATACAAGCTGGACTGTAAAACCAGAAATCTTCTAATGTGGCAGGCAGATGTTGTTGCCGCAGCTGCCGAGAAATCTGAGAGTGTTCTTCGCAGAAAGAGGGAAGCCGACGTCGAAACCAACCCGGGTCTGGGCCTTCGCCTGTGCGTGAGCTCTTTGCAATTGGCGGCAGATAAACCGGGCTGTCCGAGGTCCCGATCGGTTGCCCTTTTTGGGAGCAGCTTTGAAGGACGTGTTCATGGGACGCTATGGCAAACAACTCAATTTTAATTAAACGTTGCGCTCCGAGAAATAAATTAAGCATGCTGCCCGTGTTGGCTGCGCAATATCTGGACAACCTTGGGTCGCGTCTCGGGCAACAGTGATAAGTGCATAGCCGTTGCGTGACTCGACCCAGAAGACCGGGCGGCTGGATAACAGGTTCCCACTTGGGCTGACTGGCTGGCTTTATCAACCGGCACAAAGAGTCTGATTCTAGTATTGTGCTAACGCTTAATTGTGTGCCACAACAAGTATTTTCATTCAACCGAACCACAATCGTTGTACTTAAATGCATTTGCAGAGCGATTTTACTGGCTACTTAAGGAACGCTTGCAGGCGGTTCTGCTGCGATTTGTTGGCGTCTTTAAACGCGTTCGATTTTAGCTGGGCTGCTAGTTGAAGCAGTGCATTTTGCTTCTGGGTCTTGGACTGCGTTTTGGCAGGGGCGGGCGCCAGCTGAGTTGGCTTCTTCTTTTTCTTCTTCGACGTCTGACTTGGGCTTTGGGAAGCTATTCCAACTGGTTGGGAGGCTTTTTTGGCAGGCTGCTGTTTCTGCTCGATTGTTTTTTGCTTCGACGGAATTTTCAGACCTGCATTGATATCTTTATTCGGCGCCTGGGACTTTTTCTTTTTCGCCTTCTTTTTGCCTTGCTCCGGTGCAGCATGTTGCATGGTTGCTATTGTTTCCTCCTTGGCTTTGAGCTTGAAGCGTTTTTGGTTCTTTAACAGCGGCAGCATTGTCTTGTGCTGGCAAACGTCGCAATCCACAGCCTGGGAGAGGAATTTGCAGGAATATGATATTTATTGCTCAGTCAAATATTTTGTAACTATTTTATTCTTCACAACTAAAAGTGAGGATCGACAAACTTTTAAAACCTAATTTATTCTCGTTAAAATTAAATTTGTAATATAGTAGCGGATGCATTAAGACTGGTGGTGTTACTATAAATTGCATTTTAAAATATTATTGATGATTTGATTTTAATTTGATTATTATTGATGATTTGATTATAATAACCTTAAAAACTAAACTTTTTTGGCACTTATTCTGTAACCACAAAACAAAATATAAAAACAAAACTTTTAAATATCTCTATAAAAATATTCTATTATCTTTTGACTACAAAAGGCACTATGCCTTTTACTGTCTTTACTTTCCGACACTCACCATTTGGCTGGCCATGCGTTTCTTTATCCACTTGGCCCTTTTCCTGGCCCCACTGGTCATCTCACCTTTGGACTGCTTCGCCTTCACAGTTTCCAGCTGAGCAACAAGTCTTTGGTTTTTGGCATTTTGCCTTAGCTTTTGTGGCTTGAGTTGGAGTTGGTAGCGACCATCGGTCCACTGGTTGCCGCAGCGGGAGCACATGCGTGCATATCCGAAGCTGTCCTCTGGCAATTGGACATTGTGGCGAGCTAGCTTTCGACAAGTGGTTCTGGAGTAATACAAGATAAACAGTATAGTGTGGGTGTTTTAGGAATTGAAAATGAAACTTACATGTAGTACGACTTAAGGACCCGCTCCGTGTGAGATTGGTCGGATAATTTGGAAGCGCAGTTCCACAGCAAATCAACTGTTTTTTGGTCGCTCATGGCTAAAAATTAAAATTCAATTATTAAAAGCAAATATATGAATGGATTAACGGGTAAAAAAATACAAAGAAAATTCCAGATTGTTAAATTTATAATTAAAATATTCTTCAAATTATAAATCTTTTTTCGTTCAAATAAAATGTAATTTCTTATTCTTAATAAGTACAAGATTTAACGCTAAATTTCTAGTCAAAATAGACAACACTGATGGCGCAACGTGGGAGGACAACAATATAACAGTCAAAATACACGAAATCTGATGGAAAATTTTGCATTTACAACTTACCAATAGTTTATTGATAACTTAAAATAGATATCCTTCACGAAAAGAGATGGATTTTTAATAAAATAATAACTATATCAAATCTATTTGCTAAACACTTTAAATATTATGCTAACAGCTGCTTTTCCAAACAATCGATAAAATTCCGATAGTCAAAATTTAATCAGCATACCGGAGTTGCCACCCTGCTGCCACATGTAAAATACAATACGCGGTTGGATTGGTTTGCTCAGTTATCGAAGCGAGCGCATTTAAAAAGTTTAAAAGAAGTTGATATATATTTAAACTTACATATATGTAAATGATCACACTGCAGATGGCTTAAGTCAACTGGTACAGTTAGAGCCCATGTGGAAAATAATTTTGATTTAAAATAATGCACTATTACTAAGAAAAGCAAACTGTGAGCAACCAAGTGATATTTTTCAGAGCTTATTTTCACTCATGTAAATCGCATGAAGTTTTTTTTCGCCTACAGCTTAACAGCAACATTAATATCTTAAATAAGTATGGTGTTATTTGTTTATTAAAGTTTTAGCAGTAGTAATAACGTATATTATTGGATCAGCAGAGTAAGAAAATGTGTGCAAGTGGAAGCAGGCCATTAATTATAAGATTACTTCTGTGAGCCACGGACTGTTATCGATGTTAGTCAATTCCTGGAAGCATCGATAGCATCGCTTAAACATCGATTTTAATCTCCAACCGCCGAAAAAACGAAGCGACGCATAGTTTCGAATTCAAACGGACGCGCAGAACGCAAGTAGTAAATAACAAACATCTGTCGAAAAACGCCGACGTGGAGTGCTGAGCAGTACAGTAAATTCAGTAATCGAGTGTGCGCAATTAGAATTAGCATTTGCATTTGAGGCCGCAGCAACAATGGACCCGTTTACTCAGGTAGGAAGGCTGTTCGCACACAGCGAAGCCCTTTGTCTGGTTGTGCATTGGTATTGGTAATTGCATCCGCGATTTTTCACTGCAATTTTCCGTTTTGCAGCACATGCTCGAGAAGGCGGAACAGCGCAGTCGCGCCCTCGGCATTAGCAACGCAAGCAAATTTCCTACACCCTTTCCAGAGGGCAGCGTTCCCAATTCCACGTCCGCCTCTTCTGCCGGGGATGCAAGGGTCCTTGCGCCGAGGAGCCACTCGCCAGGAGTTCAAAGTACGGGCAGTGGAAGCGGCAAGGTCGTTGTACTCGACAAGGCAACGCTGGAGGCGTCACCAACCAAGCCGCTTCGGCACTACGCGGCGGTCAATAAGGAGAACATGGAGATGGGCATCGAGATAAACATAACCACGGACAAACCAATTGGGGTAAGTTCCCGCCTTTCCTTGGAAGTTCCACCGCCCTCTGAGGTTTGCTCATTTGCAACTGTCCTCCTTCAGGTGCAAGTTGAAATCCAAGAACAGGAAGTGACCGATGATGATGACGAGGAAGCAGGGGCCAAGAATCCTCTTTTGGAAGCAGGGCCTGTCAATCAGCCGCTAGCCAGGCTCAGAGACACCTCGCGCAGCAGACTGCAGCGGATGGGCGCCCTATACTCGAACACGGATGACCTCTCCTCGCCTATCCACCGCACTGAAGGACAATTTCATGTGACAACGGGAGATGAAGAGGATAGCGGCAACCGCAGCAGGCAGCCCAAGCAGAGGTTGGGAAAACTGGCAGCTTTGGCAGACACCATCAATCAATGGGAGGATGACACGTCGCACCACGAAGTGCACCGACCTCTTGAAGCGCCGCCGCCAAAACCGCATTTATCCAGCCGCCGGGCGGAGAAGGCCCCGGCTCCACAGCCCCCGAAGAAGGACGAAGTGGACGACGCTTCCAGGACCAAGCAACTTAAATGGGATCCCAAGGTACTGAGCTCTCTGGAGGCCCAAGGTTTTCAGCGCCGCGAATCGTCGACCATTAAACACACCTATGATTATGCCAAACAGGGAGAGGCTCCGCCAGTTGGCAAACAGGAAGCGACAGCGCCAGTTACAAAGCCTCCAGTGCCGGAAAAATCGACAACGGTTAGCCAGGTGGCCAAGAACTTTGGAGCTTCTGGTTCTGCGCCCAAGCCAACATCAGCAGCACCTGTGGTTAGTGTAAAGTCTGGCTTGGTTTCTGGTCGTGCTGCGATCTTTGAAAGCAAAGGAGCTGGTGGGCAGATGCAAGGCAATCTTCGAAACCAGAAGGATCCATGCGAGTTGTCACTGAAGGAGCGCATGAAACTGTTCGAGACGGGCAATAACAAAGCTATGTTGCCGATGGCACCAATAGGATCCGCTCCCAGTATTAACCAGATTCGGGCAGAGGAAGTAAAACGTGAGTATAGCGGCCCTTCAATCTTGTTTTTTTTACTTTAAAATCTGATTTTATATGCACTAATAGAGCATTTGGTGGCAGTTCACCCGGTGACAGCTGCTGCTGCTACTACTATAGTTGTGGCAACCAAACCGAAGCCTGAGAACAAACTGCGCGACAAGGTGGCCGCTTTGGTAGCCAATGCCCAGTCAAATGCAGAAACCCGCATCAAGGACATTGATCGTCAAAGACAGGAGGACATGCAGATTATATCAAATCGCTTCAACAAACAAAAGGAACTGTTTGACGTCCAACCAGCTCTCAGTTCAGTGCCAGCTTCAGCTCCTGCTCGTGCTCCAGCGCCAGTTCCCAGCAAAGTTGTGCGACCCATGCCGCCGCCTCCACCACCCCCTATCGCTGGGCTCTCGCCAGCATTGGCCAGCAGCAAAAGAAGATCACGTAAGAATCAAATAATGTTGGTTTTTTAGGGCTTCACGCTGATACTTCCGCATTTTCAGCTGGTGATGCGCCCACCGCCGACGAGGACTCCAAGCGGGCTCGTAAATCAAATTCCGACCGCTTATATCCCGCCCTCCCCGACCTCGACTCCAGCGGTGACAACTGCTGTGCCGCCGAAACAGCCTCCGCCACGGATGATAGCCACCAACTGGACGAGGAGGAGACCGAAAGGTGCGCTGACAAATGCTACTCCTGCTTGCTATTTCTGCTTTGCATCGAGTAGACTGACTCTAAGACTGATAGCCCTAAGACGCATAGCTTTAGTCCCCTTCCCCTAGACAAGACCAATAATAAAATCTCTTTCTTAACTAACCGCTGATCTTTGATTCGTGCAGTTGCATGGATGAGTCGGAGGACCAGTCTCAGACTGAGGACAGCAGCGCCGGCATGTGCAACGGCAGCCTGGGCCGCGAGATAATGAGCGCGGTGCAGCGTAACGAGGCGGAGATGCAGCAGCAGCCCGGTAAAAAGGTAAGTACAGGTAGAAAATTGAAAACTCAGCGGGCGGTCACAATTAACACCTTTTTATCGTTTTAGACTGTGCGCTATGCGGAAAAGGACTTGTACTACAATCACGAGGGCCAAGACGACAGTTCGATGAACTCATCGCAAGTCTCTGCCGGCATCGACGACTATTTGGATGAGGCGCTTGCCGACGACTACGTCAGCACCCAGGATGATGAGAGCGACAGCGGTGATGAGCACAATTCCAGTCGGCTATCTTTGGGGGTAAGTGTTAAAACCATGGTTTTTTGTAAATTGAAAGTAATCGCTTTTTACTTTTACAGAGTAAGGGAACCACTGCCTCCAACAGCTTTTCCTTTCGCAAGAATCCACCCTCAACCTGCACGCCTATAGAGGAGCACCATGAGATGATGGACTTGCAGACGCCGCTTCCAAGCGGTGTGCAACCGGTCAAGTCTGAATTAAGCGTAAACCAAGACAAGGACAACTTAGTCACCCTGGTTCACACGGTCAGCTTTTATCGGCGTCAGCAAAGTGCCAACGTAAGTGAACTAACACTATAAGACACTATAAAACAAAACTTACCGAATTTTTGTTACTTTTAGAGCTCCAATTCGACACCCGTGCGCAAAATCTGTCGCGAGCAGCAGGTAATGCGATCAGCCCTTGCTGCCGATTGTCATGCGAAACACAGATTGGAGTATGATTCACCTCAGCAGGGGGAAAACGGAGGAGCAGTAACTGCCTGCCTTGATGAACAGACCGATGAGGACGATGACGAGATGCAAAATGCAAGGGAATCAAACGAAGCCTCGCTGGCTCAGGACAAAATCAAAAAGTTGCTGAGCGAGGTGTGCAAGCAGCAGCAGGTTATTGGACAAGCCAGTCAAGCTCTGAACCTTTGCGCGGCGACGGTCGAGTTTTCCGGCTCCACAGAGTCCGTGGAGGGAGAACGATATCTTCTACTGGCGAGTGAGTCTCTGAAATATCTTTCTTGTTGCTTTTTTTTTTGTACATAAAGTTGCATTCCAACCCTAATTAAAAGTTCTGAATGGAACTGAGACTGATAAACCCGTAAAATTCCCGGAATAAAATTTGGCTGACGCTTTTTCTCCTTGCAGCCCATCGCCGCCAGGCGTGTTTGGACGAGGTTCAGCGACTAAGAGTCGAGAACAGCATTCGCCCCGTGGGTGCACCAAAAGAAAAGGGCCTGCTGACGGTCAAGGACATAACCATTCCCTTGCGCCAGGAGTACGTGCGTAAAATGGCCTCTGGCAACATCAATGGTCATCACCTCGTGTGTTTACTGAAGTATAATGAGCACGTGCTGGCCACCAAGACTGTGCCCACGATGCCTGGCTTGTTGTCTGTCAAGTTTCCCGATGTTCTGCAGCTGAACAATGTTTATGCCGATTTCAGGGTGAGCTTAAAGGCACTTATTTAAAAAACAACTTTATCTAATGGGAGACCATTTGTTTTCAGATCACTCTGGAAATATATGGCATGCTAGCTCAACGTGACCAGTTGCCCCATGAGCTGAAGTACCACATTAATTTGAACAAGAAAGGCGGCGTTAAAACGCCGAAGAAAAAGGGCGGTGAAAATCGCCTGGTTATGCCGCCGGTTCAGAGCCCGGCGGGACCGCAGGTAGTAAGGACACCGCAACTGGTGCAATACGGCTTTGCCATCTTTTCTCTGCGTGAGATCCAACGCACTACATGGACACTGACCCAGGTGCTGGGCGTCAGCCCACTGGAGGGTGTGGTTCATATGAAGGTTAATTGTGAACTATCCGTGAGCGTGGAGTACAAGGGGTTCTTAACCATGTTTGAGGACATCTCTGGCTTTGGCGCCTGGCATCGCCGGTGGTGCTATCTGAATGGGTCGGTAATCAACTACTGGAAATATCCGGACGATGAGAAGCGCAAAACCCCCATGGGCAGTATCGATCTGAACGCCTGCAGCTCGCAAAAGGTGACCACTGCACCCCGAGACATCTGCGCTCGCCTGAACACCATGCTGCTGGAGTGCGAACGACCGGCGCTGGAGACGGACCAAGAGTCACTTATAATCGTGCCCAACGGACGAACCACCACAGTGCGGCATCTGCTCTCCGCCGACACAAAGGAGGAGCGCGAGGAGTGGTGCGCCTACTTGAACAAGGCACTCACATTGCTCCGCGCCTGGGGAACCACCCACTGACCCGCTGACCCACTACTGCAATCCTGTCAGCAGCAAGGACACTGACACTGACACCAAACGGGCGGGTTGTTAAAAGTTTTCTCTTTTTAAGTTTAACTACTTTGCTATTTTAATCGCGTTCGCGTTTGACTTCATTTGTTTTATGTTTCCGATTCAAATTATTCGTATTCGTATTCCGTATTCGAAAAAGGACACTTTCGTGTTCGTATTATATCGACAAAGTATTGCTTGAATACCTTATATGTATGTACATTGCATTTAGGATGTCTCGCTAAATATATAATATGTATAAGTCCCAGTAAGAGGCTGCCGCCATTTGTTCACTGAATAGTTTATAGTTTATTGAATACTTTTATACACGTACACATTTACATTCACATATATCGTTTGCAAGAACTCGTGGCTATGAAGAAATGGCTACGTGGTTTCCGCGTGTTAACTATCTTTGTATCTCTGACCATTCGAATCTAACAACAAGTGAGAGTTAAAGCTGCGTGTTATCACGACGCCGGCTGTTCTAGTGCCAAACTCTGCTCCGGCATCAGGTTGCTCGTAATCCGCTTCGTTTGAACGCGGCACGCGTGGTTTTCTGTACTGTGTAGGTGGTTCATGTCAGGTAGTTTAGTGTGTATGTTTCTTTGGCGATCTCAATTGACTCTAGTTTGGCGATATAGTCCTCGTGTAGTCGTACGTCAGTTGGCCGTCGGCCTAAAGGCTATCTACAAAAAGTGCATTTCGCATTGCCGTCGGCGGTGTGTTCAGTGTGGGTTTCCTCTAGTTCACAACACTATCAAATGTATAGATATATTTCGTATAGGTATATATTTTGACTTGAATCTGCTGTTAGTTGTAAATCCTCCAAAATTATTACAGTTTGCCAGATATGCAGGATATACTTGAGCTTTGTACAACAGTAGCGCTCTCGCTCTGGATCATCGGGTCCGGAAAATACAATTACATATATTATATACACATTCTGTCTGCGGAAGGAGGGAACAATTGAAGTCGAGAGCCGCTACTGTTCGGTAATGCATTCGCTGGATTCGGATACACTGCCTCAAACTGCTTTGGATACTCCGTTTAGCAATCAAATTGTCAACGTTCGCTAGAATATTAGGGATATAATACTGAAGGATATTTCCATATAACAATTGTCTGTTTTGTGTGTGGCTGTCGGCGGTGCAGTGGCAACGCAAAGATAATGCTGAATTTCGATGCAAGTCTTGGGGTTGCTGAATTTAGATTCATCTAACCTATGCACTAAACCTTAATCGGTGGCCAATATAAAATTGAAAAAATAATTGCCTAAGCTTAATCATATTCGTGTGTGTCTTCGTGTTCGTGTGTGTGTGTGTTGCTATGCACCTTTAATGAACATTTTAAAATTCAACACTTAAGGCTACAACGGAATGTACAGTAAACAATTAAATAAATTAAACGGTAAAACGATATGCGTAGAATACTATACATAAAAGACAGTCACCGTGCCGGAGCGAGTTCCCTACGGATTTGCGATCCCGCTGGCGGGCACCTGGGCGTTCTGGCGCCGCAGATCCGACTGGGTGATGGCCGTAATAATCGTGCCCACAATCAGCATCACGGCCATGGTTATGTTGGCCGCGATGTCGCCGAAGGTGGTGAACAGCTCCGAGTAGAAGAGCGTGAAGCAGATGCCGAAGGTCTGGGCGGAGGCGTTCAGCAGTCCGGACGAAGTGCCTTCCGGCTCCGGGAACGTCAGCTCGGCTCCGAACTCAAAGCCCACCGGCAGGTAGCCAGTCATGAAGAAGCTGTAAGGGTGGAATTCGTTTCAACAGCAATTATTGGTAAACCTCACTAGCTATCACTTGATAAATTTATCCGCAATCGTAATGTTTCTTAAAAATAGAAATTAGCTTGTTAGGGGAAAAAGTTGCACTTACATACGAGTACAGCAATCAAGTATTATATTGCGATTGAGATTTGAAGAAGCTACTTTAATTATCTTCTAATCGAAAAACAATAAAAGCTTTTTGTAAAGTAAAAAGAAATGTAAACTAAAAAGTCATTTTGAGCTTCAGTATTTTCAAAGATCTTTAAAAAAGATATCTAATATGTGTTAGAACTCATCTTTAACTGATTTGGCGTATTTTGTTATACTAAAATATTAGGTTAATTAATGTAAATTGGATTTACTAAGCATTTTTCAACTATGCTTTGTAATTTTATTAACAACGGGTTGAACAAATGTTTTGCTTGTATCTTAATTTAACGCCCGATTGTTTTTACAACTTACCCCAGCAGCGATGCCGTCAGGTAGACCACCGCTATGTGGCCCGTGTCCAGGGTGAAGGTAAAGATCCACATGCCCACCATGGAAAGCGCGTAGACCGCCAGCGTCGTTTCCCTAGAAAGATGGTTGAAGCACATTGAGTGCCGTTCATTAAACACTGAGAGCCCCTTATCGAATTAATAACAACTTCTGCGGCTGCCGTGCTAAAACTTTCTCAAGCGGCCCACTCTCAGCGGGGCCACATGGCGTATGCGTAATGAGTTTCTACCATGTTCGTGAAAGCCCTTGAGCAGTTGGTTGTTGTACTTACTTGAATTTGTGCGTCTTATCCAGCACAACGCCCGAAACCACGGAGCCCAGCATCCCGGCCAGCACAATGCTGAGGCCGATACGTCCGGCGTCGACCTCGTGTCCGGGATAATACTTCAGCACCACCTGCGAACAAATCCCGGCAATTAGCCCCCATTAACCGCTCATTAATCGAGTGTGGAGCCCATACCGGATTCAGGAGCGTGGAGATGGCGTAGAAGACGCCCACGTTGATGCCGTACGAGAGGAGCAGGAAGATGAAGTTCCTGTTGGTCATCAGGTTCTTCAGCGACTGCACGAAGCTGACCTGTTCCTCGCCGGAGCTCTCCAAAGTTGGGCCGCCTCCTGGGCGGCGGAGGGCGGAGTGGGTGGTTTGTCCTGGAAGACTACAAAATCGTTTGACGTTTTTTAATATTAGGAACATCCCATAACTCAATTTGTTTCTATGTGGAAACTTTGGGATTTTATTTAGTAAATTTATTTTAAAAGCTTGTTTATTTTGCTTGGTAATAAATAGTTTAAATGCAGAAAACTTTAAGAAGCCCTTTAAATTTCAGTATGTCTCAATGTTTATCATAGTATTAATGACTGATCATTTAATAAGATATACTCTATATATTATCTATCGATTGATTAAAAGTATTTTCCGCTAGAAGCTTCTTAAAGACTTACTTAAAAGGGCTACTTACAAAACACCATTAGGACGAGCAGGATGCTGGTGAGGCCGGCCACTAGGTAGAACATCATCTGCAGATCACTGCCCACCGTCTCCAGATCCGGGGAATTGGGCACCAGCATGGGTGGCAGCACAAAGCCAACGGCCACGCCCAGCTGGAAGAAAGGAACAGGCGGATTTCTCAATTGTACGCAAGTTACTCAAAGCGAAATCTGTTTCCGGTTCCGGTGCTGCCTCCGAATCCGCTGCTATTTTCGCTCCGCTTCCGGACTTTCGCCCTCAGTCCCGCGACCCTTAGCCCGGTGTTATTCACGCTGCAACTGTGAAATTGATTTATAGTGGGCCTGGCCCTGCTAGATATATGTGCTGCTCCTGTTCCGGAACCCCACCCCCCCAGAAACCTCTTCTCTGTTGCCGTTTTGTTTTCTGTTTTCGTCAAAGTTTGTGGCGCAGTTCCACGGAAAAAATAGATGTACACCCCGGGCTCGGCTGTGACAGCTCCGCTTTTTTCCGCACACGCCAATGCACAAAAGTTGAGCCATGCAATTTTTAGTTATTTTCCTTGATTTTTTGTGGAAGACTGATAGGGTATCATGTGGATTATGTAACTGATAGAAAATCGCTGCTTTCTCCATCACAAACATCGACCTAATCAGTTGGAAATAAATATTTGTGCTTTTTATACCAGGAAACCTTAAAGTAATGGAAATGTTAAACCTGCAATTACTTCCTACTTTAATGGGTATCGATCTGTTGAGCTTTTATAGATATCAGTTTATTTACCCATTTTTTGCAATGCTATAAATCGGTTTTAGTGGCAGTGGTGGTATTTAGGGCCAAGTGACATTTGACAGCCAGGAAAATAAATTGGACTATAAAAGCATTTTTTACTAGCGCAAAATTTAACGGAAACTCAGATGATGGTTACTTTAAGAATCTACTTTAAAGTAAGATAAGAAATGCACGCAACAGCGTTGAATGTTTGTTCGATATATAAACGCTACCGGAAAGTGTTTTTATTTTAATTGAATCAAAACACCTTCCTTTTGTTTGGCAAATAATCAGCTTGGTCCAAACAAAAGAAATGTCAGTCGGTTGAACAGTTCATTTTCACACACAATAAACCGAATGAAGCTTTTCTCTTTGGCAATAACTTTGCGTTTGCACAAACAAAGGAATGGCGAAAACTGAATTCCCACCGACGTTAAATGAAAACCTTTGGCACTATCGTGGCCAAACGGACCAGATACCCATTGCAGAGCTCCAGGTGGTCTGCGCTTCAGATTGGGACACCCGTTTTATGGAGCACGCAAACAGAATCGCCGCTTTCTGTATTTTCATCTTTACTTAAGAAAATTGTATTTGGGTTGGCCGTTTGATTTTATGGCAGCTCAACTATCGAAGGATCAAGATTGATCTGGGTTCACCTTGGAGAATCTCCCACAAATTTATTGAGTATGATTACGGAAACAGTTTGTGGGATTTCTTAAATGGCATCCCCTTCCTCTGGGGAAACACAGAAGTTCTGAATTTAAATTCATACTTCTAGGAAATCCTATTTCTGTGGAAACACTCATCAGAAAATAGCATTATTTGACAATTTAGTAACAAAGGAAGAATTTAATACCTCAAAAGAATAGCAAATCAATGAAACTATGTATAAACAGATATAAAATCCGAATATAAAATATGTTGCTTTTTGACAGTTTACAAGCCCTGAGTTTTATTTGTCTTTTTTCAATGCCCAATAAATAAATGGCTTTCATGGTGGAAGTTATTGGCTTTCAATGATTATAAATAGTACTGAATAATTATTCATAAAGTTATGTGGCGATTTTGTAGCCTTGCAATGTTCCCAATTACATAAAATTTGCTTGCGACTTCCCGCCAAATTAAGTAATAAAGATTAAGGATTTATGGCCGCCAACGCATTTAATCAATTTCGTTCGATTTGGCAATGAAGCTGTGGATTCGTATAATCGAGTAAAAGAGAAATATGATTTTGAAATACTCTTGCATATAAGCCACGGTAAATTCATAGAATTGCA